AAAGTTTTGTCAGAAAATAAATAAAAAACTTACCTAATTAATGAAGAAACTTTTCTTTATAAATTCTTTTCAATAATAGATTGCGTTCAGAACAAGGTTACGACGGCGATCACGAAGTTAATCCCATTGAAAATAATCTACAAGAAACGATTTCAAATCGCGAAGTTGCGAAAACGAACATGTGATATAACGATATAAGGTCTCAAAAGTGATTCTGATTCTACCGCTCATCAGTCAAGGCCGTCTCAACATAACGAAACAATATCGTCTTCCACAGCGCGAGTTGGCATCGGAACGTAAGAGAAAGTCCTTGCGTGTATCGCTATATCGTTATATCGTCTTCTTCCCTCGACGGCTTAAATCAGATTTCTGATGCATCGCTTGGAATGAAAGTCGTTGTATCGGTTTGCCGATATAGGCGTTAAATCGATATGTCGCGATATATCGATTTATAGCCCAGTCCTAGTAATAACTGAATCTGATCCTCACAAATGTTTAAATTACCCTTTCAAACTATTTTAATGAATTTTTTTTTAAAAAGTAATTCTCACTCATTATCAAAATAAGAAAATAATTTGTAGATTGTAAGAAATAATTAAAGGCATGCAAAAAAACAATCCTTGTGCAAAAAAAAAATAATAATAAATAAGTAAATTAATAAACTAAAAAATAAGTGTTTATTGAAAAACAACTTAAAAGCTTTTTTCTGTAATTTAAACTGAAAATTAAGAGAAAACAAACATTTAAAGTTGCCTTTTTTTCTTCGACAAAAAATTTTTTTTAAAAAATAATTTTAAAATTACTGAGAAAATTTAATAATGTACTCCTGAAAAAAGAGAAACTTAAAATTTAACCAGTTGAGAAAAATGCTGACAAAATAAACATTTGCAATAGTAATCAGAAATAAACCTATAAACACAGATAATTTCACCAGCGTGTAATTATTATTTAAACATTGAATAAATTTTTTTAAAATGGAATATGAATAAAAAAGGCAGTATTTTTAAGGGAGGGCAGCTTATTTTTACAAAACAAGCAAAGAGACTCCATCATAAGGCAAGCAAGGCTGGCTGCCCTTCTTAAAACGCCTAGGGAGAACACGGGCTTTATTGTCAATCATTAAATATTCATTCTCAGTGAGAACTTGTGATTTGTCAGGACAATGAAAAAAAAATTTTTTTATTTAAAAACAATCATTTTAAACAATAACAATAAACAAAATAACAAACCTGTTCTGTCATACCGCACCAATAGTTAGAATAAGCTCCCAATGTTTCAAGAACAGGCGCAATTACAGTCCTAAAACAAAATGAAATATTTAATTATTGTAAAAGTGATGATACTAAAACATTTTAAATAAAATTATTTAACTTAATTTCTTATTAATCAATAAAATTTATTAACACACTTTTTTAATAACCAGATTAATCACTATTAAAATGCTTGTTTACTTAACAAGAATTAGAAAAAATATTACCTTTTTATAACTCCAAAACAACATTAAAAATTTACATCATGGCATATAAATAGATTATGCTTGTCATATGCAGCGACAATCAGAAATTATAATTTGTTATACAACTTAAAGTTATTAATAAACATAAATGAAACTAAATTTATCGATTCACGTTGGGTACAAAAGTATCATATGTAATAATGCATTTTTAAAAATTGAATTTTTATTTTTCATGAAATTATCATTCATTTATGGGTTTCATAAGAGGAAGAACTTACTGTGATATTACCTAATACAAAAGCATCAATTGTAACAAAAATAAGTCAAGTTCATTTCTAATATTCACACGTATAAAAAATTTCCTCAGCATTTCTATTAGTAAGTACAGCAGATAAAGTAAAATAAGGCAAAAGATAGGGTAAGTTATGCTTTTTAATATAATACTTACTTTTCTTCTTCAATCAATAGTTTCAAAGTAGCATTGTTCACTAAAAATACATCAGCATCTAAGAACTAATAAAATTAAGAACATTAGACAATGGTAAAAATGGAAACAAAAATTACATACAAGATAACAAGAAAAAAATATGAACACATACATATGATAATTTTAATGTTTATAAAAATATGTCAAATAAACATGAAAACATTATATACCTGTAACATATTTACAAAGTGTCCAATTATGGCCTTAATATAGGGCTATAAAAATGCTACAAAATTTTCTGATACAGAACACAATACACATGCTATATATTGTTTCTTTACCTATCATACGATTTTTTTTAAAGGTATTCTGAAATCTTATGAGATTTAGCACAAAATCTTGTCTTCAGCCTATTACCTTTTATCAATTACCATTAACTAATAAATGCACATGGTAAATAATAATTTTGAGATTAAATTATATATAAAATAAAAAAAAAGAATTATTTCCTAGTTGTTTATCAATTAATCAGTTTTGTCAATTAATCACATTTTAACTTTCCCTTATTTTTAAAAACTACAAATTTTTCTCTTATTTTGATAATGAGATAAAATTATTCTTTGGAATATACACATGAAATAGTATAAAAGGGTAGTAATTTCACAATTGTTGTGGATAAAATTAATTTATTACAGAATATTACACATATTAATAAATTTTTACGGTGTTAACTCAAAGTGCCCCTTTCAGAGAGGAAGCAACTGGCCTTTTTTTATTCCTCGGGAGAGCCCTGGTTAAAATATGCAAGGGAAAAAAAAATACAATAGAAAGTTATAAACAGAATAGAAAGATGTTGGCAATAAAAAAAAGATTTTAGACAAGAATTTTATTACTTTACATGTGTATAGATAGATTTCAGGGGGTTTACCCCCTGGTTGCAATCCCTAAAGAGTTCAATCATAGAAGTCAAACAAAAAAGATAAACAAGTCAAGGATATAATAATAAACATAAATGCATATCGTTTTTTCTTTAGAATATCAATTTTAAAGCGAGTGTTTGATGTTCAAGTAAGACTTATTAAATGTTGGCAATTTCTACTTGAAAATCAAATGAATACATAGTAAAATGAAAGAAGGGAAACTTAATGTACACAACATAAAAATGAAAAGAAAAAAAAAGTAATAATGGTTTTACAACAGTGATTATTATTAACCATGAAGGTAGGTTTAATGTAATCATTTACTTAATTATACATTAATACATTACATAAGAAATTCTGTTATTTTATTTCAAAATTCTAATATGATCAATAAATCAAACTGAAATGCAATAGCATAAATTTAAAAGACTAAAAAGCTTACAAATATATAATCAGCCCATAATTTTCTAGCTGCTTTCAGGGCACTCTCTTTTAAGCTGATGATATGATCAAAGTGAAGGGGAGACCACTCAAATACACCACTTCCATCTGGAAAGGTTTCAGGGGAATCATCAAGAATGGAATCTACGGAATGATAACTACTCTCGTATTTATCTAGCCATGTTTTAATTATGTTGACAGAATCATCAACATTATGATCACTCCTTATCCTAAAACACATAGGCTCAATAAATATAAACATAATGGATCTTTAGAAAAATATTTATTACCATAAATATAAAAAAAAAAAATCCAATTTCAGTAATTACAGTTTTTTTTTTTTTAAATTTTAACACAATCAGGAATATTTTTTTTCTTTATAATCACAGAACATTTTTATAATTATAGCAATATGTTTGTCCTCAACACAGTATTTTGTTGTCCTTGTGGCCCACTGTCAAAAAATGGCAGTATTTTTTTTTAGTTTACTTTCTTTGAAAAAAATTTATGCATAGAGACTGTCGTTTAGTATGTTTTTAAAAAATTTTCTTTTATTTTGACAATGAGGTAGAATTATAGTTTTTGAAATCTATACATAAAAAAGTATAAGAGGATAATTTAAAAATTATTGAGGATAAAATTCACTTATTAACAAACATTACACATTTTGTTACATTTTTACGATGCTAAGTGAACCCTTTGAAAGGGAGCCCTTATGGTGTTCCCTTTCAAAACTCAAAGTGCCCTTTCCTGAGAGGAAGTCCCCTGCCTTTCTTTTTATTCCTAAGCAAAATTAGTGCTTGTGCTTTAAATAAATGTAAAAAATTTATTTGTCAAATATTGGCACAGGAACTGATATTTAAATTTTCAACACTTTCTAGCTGTTAAAAAGATACCAGTGTAAGAAGGGTATCAAAAATTAATTATAACACGAGAAAATATTTGTCACTATTCCGAAGCAGTGATAAAATAATCGCTTTTCAGTGTTTTCATCTCAGAAAAAAAATGGGGGAGAATTTCTCACCCTTTCTCAAAAACAGGGTGAGATTTCAAAAAGTTAAGTGAGATTTCAAAAATTTAAAAAAAAAACGTAAAGAGACTTGAAAAAAAATAAAATTTCTTTAATTATGATGCATTTTTAACATCTTCTAATTTTTAAAGCATTGAATATTTTTGCTGCATCATCCTATGGAAAATGTTCTACATCTACTTTTTCATCAGCTATTCTCATTAGGTTGCTCAAATGCGTATTTGTTTCGTTTTGATCGCTTCTACCCACATTTGTTTCATTTTCATTTGTCCGTTTCGGAGTAGAAGATATTGGCTTTACAAGGTATTTGTCCATCTTACATTAACGAGCAAAAACTTTTAACGTCTTACATGAAGAAACCTTACCTACGGTAAACACGTGGTTGCAGAGAAATGCGTTCTGAAAGAGGTTCCATGGTTCTGAAGGATGGTGTTCTGTTGTTCTTAAAGGTTCTGAACAATACTGGTAAATAGGGAATGGGCAGATGTTGAAAATAATAAACAGGGATAATGGGGCAGATGTTGAAAATAATAAAAGATTCAGGAAGAAAAGTGAAACGGATTTTATTCTAAATGGCGCAAAAGAGAAATTTTTTTCAAAATGCGAGAAATTCGCTAATTTTGAAATTTTTTTATAGATTGCGCGAATTTCTCGCGGTAATCATTTTTTAATGCGAGAATTTAAAAAAATATGCGAGATTCTCGCGTTCTCGCGCTGTAGTGAAAACACTGGCTTTTAGAATAATATTAACGATAGGCAAAATCGCCGATTTTTTATAAGCTTTCTTTAAAAATTTTGTACGAAATTCTTGCACCACATCTTAAGATGAAAATTTTACAATAAGAATTAACATAATATCTGAAAAATTAACTTTAACGATATCAACACGATTGTCATAAGTCTTACTTTTTCGTGCAGAATCATAGAAATATGTTTTACATAAAAAATATAAAAAAATAGCTATTAATTTTTATACTTAATCAATCTATAATGACATAAAGATCAAAATACTTTTTTACCATAGGGATATCCTATCGCGTGGGTAGTCGAGTTGTTCTAAATATGCAAAAAAATAAGGCAGAGTGTGTGCCTTATTTCGTATTAGTACTGTTATTAAAACGGTGGGCAATAATGTGTCATTCTGTATTCCGGCATGACCAAAAATAATATAGGATAGAGAGATTGTGATAAAAATTAACAAACGCAACATGTGTAAATAGGTGGATCGTTTTGGCACAGTAGAAAAAGATACTTTTTTTTATTGGTCAGATGTTATTCATTACTGTCATCCGCCTTAGAAAAAAAGCATAGAAAAAAGTAAACAGAAAATAAACGATAAGCTAGCAATTGAAAATTCTTTTGCCTTAATTGAAACTTTGCTTATAGCTTACAAAACAAAAACATTGTTTTTGTCATGTTCAAGTTGCATTTTATATTTAGAAACCTTCTAAGCAATATAATCCGACAAAATATAAGTACGCTGGTTTGTAGCTTACATAGTATTAATTATAATTTTTTTTTTAAAGAAAAGATTGGCATTATGTGTTTTTTATGTCTACCGTCGTCTGCCTGATTGTTGTTTTATTTTCAGTGACATACAAATAACTATTTAGAATGGACGAAAATCTGAATTCTTTGGTCTCTGAAGAGGTACATAATTTCTTTTGTAATACCATTTTGTTTATTTGAATGTGCTTTTGTTTGTAGTATCGTATGAATTTGATGTTGCTTCTTACAACTCACCTGTCAAATATTTTTGCTATTTACAATTAGTGCCAAGAACTTTAATCTTCTCAAAAACTCTTATCCGTTTTATTTCTTAAAAAAAAAAGTTATCACATCTTAGTAAGAATCGTTGTGACAATTTTACTACAGTTACATCTAGCTTGTTTGATGAATTGCCGATTTACAATTGATCTATGAAAACACTTGATTTCGAATTATTTTGTTTTTACACTTATACACTTACAAAAATTATTTTTTGTTCTTTTAAACAATATGTGATACTGACAATTAAAAAAATATAATCCAATCAGTGAAAGTAGTCTATTAAACACTAACTTTAAAGATTACTGTGGATACACTTGCTGAATGTAACACTGACACTGCGAAAAAATTTATTGTTACCTTAAATCTTTATGGATTTTATATTCGTAAAGAAACCAAGAACACAAAGAAAATGATTGGTAGGGGATATTTCTGTATCATGATCTGTTGCGCCAAATACAATCATATTCGCGCTATTCCGAAATTACATATTGTAATTTGTATTCATGGGATTTAAAATTACTCCTCGCCATTCAAATTCAATTGATATGAAAACTAAACGTTCTGCTTCAAAGATCAGGCATCATGATTTATAAATCTAATATCGTTAAAATTTCATAATGATGTATATTGATTATTTTACTATGGTTAAATAAATGTTATGATACATATTGTAACATATATCTTGTATATGTATAGATATATATAAATGTATAGGTACAGGTGATGTTTTGTATTTACATATTACTACAAAATGTTTAAAAGGCTTTGTGTTATTATTTTTGTTTTGAACAAGTTATTATAAGTTAACAGTTATGTAGCTTAGCTAAGTCCATATAATATTCATGAATGTGCAAACGCCATTGTAAAATTTTCCAAAATTGCATAAATTTTTTTGCAGTTACTGAAAAACAAAAAATCCTCTGTTCAAAAAAAGAAGTTTACCTATTTCGAATTCCTGAGAAAAAAAAATTTTTTTAAACGCTTTTTTCTACTAATGTATACACAGTTTAAAATGACGTTAACGTTATTTAATATCATGCACCACAATTCCTATTTACGCGGTTTAAGATCCTGCATCGCGTTTTGTATTTTCACGATTTTATGTCAAATATTGTATTTTGTATTCACGCTATTTTAATCTCACTATTACAATTTGTATTAAAGTGACTTAAAAATTATGCATCGGGATTCATATTTGCACAATTTTAAAATGAAACATCTAGTCATTTTTTTAAAACAAACTCATCCCTGTGGTATGAATCATTATAGAATTCTATAAAAATTAAACATTAAAAAAAAAAAAAAAAAAAAAATCTGTAATTTTCAAACAAATTTCACCAAAATGAAGTGGCCACAGAGGGGTTGAAACTTGTTACAAGAGTTAATTGATGCATGCAGAAAGTTTTTTAATTAAGATGTGTTTACAGAAATTTTTCAGTTTATCTAAATCTGCTTAACTATAACATAAATTTAAAATAATTTTAAGATATTATGTTTTTAGGTAAAGTTAAGATTATAAAAGAAAGTATTAATTGTATATTTATTACTTATTGTAATAGTTAATGTATTTGTTTTTTGATGTAGAATACTTTTCCAGTTGATGATGTCAGCAAAATTATTAAGTCTGTGAGTATTTTATATTTATTTTCTTCTTATATTATAGTATTTTGTATAATTATTTTTCCTTACAATATTAGCTACCTATCTATTTTTATGATGTTCTTTAACATCCTTTTTCATGCCAATTGTTCATCTAATCTTTATAGAATTTTTTGACTAGTAACTAAATATCTTGACTAGTAACTAAGTATGTTTATCATAATTCATTACAACAGCAGTGATAGGTGAGCATTAAGTGTTTTGAAAATAACTTCAATTTTTTTAACTTCAATTCTTGTATATATAGATCATTCCTCATCTGTTTTATTTATTTAAGATAATAGGGTTTCTAAGTCAACAAAATTCAAAAGATCGGTAAATTATTTAATATAAAAAAAATAAAATTTAAAAAAAAAAGACAGTAAATCAACAGTAGTTAGCAATTTACCTGCTATATAAAAAATTTTTTTAGTTTAAAAAAACAAAATGAAACTTAATTAACCGAAGAATATTTGGTATAATAAAATTTAAGTTGAACTTTCTTTTTCACAAATGAAAATGCATTTATCTCTTCCACCTCTTTTTTTTTCCATTTGATATTAAGAATTAGCAAATACACTTGTTGAGAAAAAATAAAAATTACTAAACTTCAAATTCAAATGACAGGGAAAATCAATGCTATTGAATAAAAAAAATAAAAATATATTATTGAACTAGGCAAGTAATTTGGTAGATTTTTAAAGAAAACATTTATAGTTTGAACCAGAACAAAGCTTGTTAGCAGATTTTGAAATATACAAAACACTGCCTACTCTTTAAGGTATTTGCGTAAATTGAGTGCAGCTACAAAGAGTCTGCTGTTTCAAACACGAAATAACATTTATTCAGCTACTCTAATTTTCGTCCTTTGATATTAGTTTTCAAACAATTTCTAACAGTGATTGCTGTAAAATGTAGCTTTAATATAAAGTTGAAAAGTAAATAGAAACTTTCTTCTATTTGCGTGCATAAAATGGTAGGTGCAGTTTTTTAAAAATAATATCCAAATCTCTAAATCATGGATGCATGCCTGCCATCTCTCACCTCCCTATATGGAATTCTAGAATGCTATTCGCACTTAGGAAATTCTTGGATTATTGATTTTGTCATAAAATAATTGCAAGTCTGTGTGTTTTTGTCAATCAATCTACATTTTTGGCGTGTGAATTTGTCAATACACATCTTTCTTCTACTTACTGAATCATTATAAGAATATATTGTTACATAAAATAAATTTAAATGTTTCATATTTTTGTCAATTGTAATTACCAATATTCAAGTAATTAAGTATGTAGTAGCATCTTCCATTTCTTTTTGCTATTTTTAGGCAGTTGAGGAAGTAATTGAAAGAAACACTTACCAACATAGTAAAGTGAAACAGTGGTCTGACAAGATAGTGGAACAAATTTTGACAAACCTCAAAGAGTTGAATAAGCCCTTTAAATATATTGGTATGTTTTAATTATAATTTCAGATACTTTTCATGTATCTTTTTTTTTTAGAAACAGTAATTGTATCAAAATTTTAAATTATCATTTTTTAGATTTATTCACAAATATGCATTTTTTTTTTTTTTTTTAATGTTAGCTTTTAATTGTACAAGTATAAAGTATTATTTTAGGTTTGTGTCACTAAGACATACTTGCCCATTCTTCCTGATTTGTAGGAAAACTTCCTTGTTTTAGAGTTTTCTTCTATATTTTTGCTAAAAGATAAAAACTTTTTGATTTTTAATTTTATCTTTAAATTGAGTCCCATCCTCTTATTAAAGCAAAATTTAAGAGAGATAGCAAATTTTTTTCATTATTAGAGACTATTGAAGAATATCTTAATATTTTTGCACTCGCCAAAATAAATTGTTTTTGTTACAAATTGAATTTCAAATTCAGTTCTGATGTTTTAAACAAAAGAGGCAACTAATAGCTACTGATTTAATTAATTTAAGGTAATTAATAAATAATAATTCGATAAATTTCCCCCCACTTTTTATTATTTGATGTTTAAAATTGACAAATAAATGAAATAGACTAAATGGGCATTTGAGTGACATGAAATTTTTAAATTATAATTGTCAGCATGTAAAGTTTTGTATATAAATATTGATGAGAGACTTATTCTGCTAAAAGTAATTTGAAATATAATTGATTTTTTTTTAATGTTTACTGATTTAAATAATTCTTCATTTGATATATAGCTGTTGAATTTAACCTTCGTCTTTGCATTGCAAATTAATTCTTTCTTTATTGGTATGAAGCAGAATGGTTTTACGTTTGTGGCTACTAGCTTTTTCACAATTTCAAAACTATGTTGGTTTAAACAGGGTAACTAAACTTTAATTATAGCTACCCTATGTACCACCTGTTCATTCATTTATGTTATTTTTTTTAAATAAAGATTGGATAAAATAATTAAAAAGTTAAGTTTAGCAATAATTTTATTTATGAGATAAATAAATGTAATTGTAGTAATAAATATTCTGATGCTAAATAATATTAATTTAATTTTCTTTTATTTATTCAAGCTACTTGTGTTATAATGCAAAAGAATGGAGCTGGATTTCATACTGCAAGCTCCTGTTTCTGGGATAATGCTACTGATGGTTTGTATAACTTGTTATGTATTTGTTTCATTAGCTGCTTATTTTCCTATTCATTAAATAATTAGCATTTTATTAAAAAATATTGTGTATCAAAGTTCATACCAAATGCAATAGTACGCCTCATGCCAATTTAAATTTCCTGATTATCCTGCACATGGCATAAAATTGCTTTTAAGATTATTTTTTACTATACAAATAGTTTCAATAATAAAAAAATTTAAAAATCAATATTAAGTATTTTGTTAGTATCATATATANATAAATATATATATTTCATTTATGTTATTGCAATTGGGAAATTTTTTTGTAAACTCTAAATCTTATAACTTATCTTCTACTGTGATCCTTTTTCTCTGAATGATTTCAATCATGACAGTAAAAAACTGGAGAAACTTTTAAAAAAATATTTTACTAAAAGATTTAAAAAATAGTTTTATTTATTTATGGGATAGTCAAAATCTAAAATAACATCAAATGCTGCTTATCCTTAGTCTAGCTTAAGAAGTTATCAAAAATTAACCCAAACTTATTCTTGTTTCATTTCATCAAAGATGATAAAACATTACATTTTTCCTCCTCTCACCCATTCACTGCTCATTTACTCAACTGTAAAATAACTCTTAATTTGAATTTGCATTTTTTAAAATAGTTCGATTTATAGTAAATTTGTATTTTATCAGAAATTTTCTATGGGAAATTTGGCTAATTTACTGGCTAATAATTTATAGTCCTTAGCGCAGGCCTTGTATATATGGATAAATTTTTTTTCTATGTCATATCTACTTTTAAGGAATAATAGTGTTAAAAAATGAATGAAATTTGTCAGTTTGTTAAAACCATTGTAACTATTTAGTCTTTTTTCTTTTAGGCAGTTGCACTGTGAGATGGGAAAATAAATCAATGTATTGTATTGTCTCAGTATTTGGTTTGGCTATATAAATTACATTTCATATTTGATTGTACATATTGTGATTAACTTATATTGAATAAACTTGTCTTTAGAATTATTTGTTGCCTCTGAGTTATTTATTTAGTCAAAAACTATGCTCAAAATTTTTTAGTCAAAAACTATGCAAACTATGCTTAATATTAAAAATCTTGATCAATCAACAATCATTTGGTCACAAAATAGTAAATAAATTTAAAAATTATGTTTTTCTGGTAGTGTTTATTAGGTACTGTTTTCAACACCATGCCTTTGAATGCAATTAATCTGTAACTAAAAACTTTTTCTGTGTTTTCTCATTCAAATTTTTACATTCACAATAATTTTTATTCAGTTAATTTAAAAGTTTTCACTTAAATTCAGAAAGTCAATCATTTTATCATTATTTTATACACCTTATAATTTACTTTAATAGAAGTCCTAATTGGAAGCAATTGAGCTGAAAAACTGAGAGAATCAAAATTCAACTTTAGTAATTTTTATAAATCTTAAAAAGTGCAGTGCACACTACAAATTAATCAGTAATGGTAGAATTTTTCAATCATCTACATTTTCTTTTCAATATAGTGCTTTAAGTTGAAGTTGTATTAATTGCATACTTTAAGTTCTTAAAAAGTTAAAAAAATGTCACGTTTTAACTGCAACTAACTAAAAAAAGAATCTTAGTAAAATTTTAAAAACTGGTAACTTAATTATCATAAAGCATGGCAATTTGAAATATCTGAACTGCCATTGTTTGACCTCAATTAATGGATTTAAAGTTTTAGCCAATTAGCTTTAAGCTTGTATACACATGATTAGCTCATATAGCTTTTATTTGGTTATTTTCTTGGGCAAACAAAAATTGTATAAAAAAAATATTAAGTTTGAAAAAGTCAAAAATCAGAAAGAAGAATTGTGGTAGAATCTCAAGCCAATTTATTGCCAAAATATTGCTTTGGGATCTGGTTTCCAAAATATTTAGGACTTAGATATAGTTATTAGATTTTATCCTAGCCAAAAAGGCCAATTTTTTTTTAAAAATTGATATAATAATTTAAAGAGCAGCAGAAATAAAAAAAGTGATTTGCTTTAATTATTTTTTTTCTTTCAAAGATTGCAATAGTATATATGGAGCAATAAGTAGCAATTTTGCACTTTTGAAACAGTTGAGAGCCACAGCTTTAAAATAGTTATATATAATAATTTTAAACTACTTAGAATTATAATTTGTAAGTTAATTTTTTTATGCTACATAGCTTTATGAATAAAACTAATTCAACTAAAATTACCAAATTTCTCTACTTCTGGAACAAAACATATAATTATTATTATTTTGAAGAATCTAATGTAGTATTATAGGATTTGGCTTGAATTTTCAGAAAAGTTTATTCAGAATTTATAGTACAGCTAGGATGAATTGGAGCTAGATTGAAATAGGCTTGCAGTACTTTTAGGCAAAAATTTCTGGTTTTATAGTAAATAATTAGAATTGAAACATCAATTTCATCACTATAATTAATAATATTTCAGCTCTTTAAATAATAAAACTCTCAAGAAACAAAAATAAAAATGCTTAGTAAATAAACTTTGTCTTTGAAAAAAATTAAAAAGGCAAATGTTGTTAATTAAAGTAATTGTATGTAGAAAAATTTCCATTATTATAAATTTATTCAGTATTGTAAAACTTAAAATAAGTATCAATATATTTTTGTTTCTAATGTAATAAATTTAAAAAAAGAAACAATGGTTAAACTATCTTGCTAACTGATTTTTCTTTTTAATTTGTTTTATATTTTATTCCAAACTGAAACTAAACAATACATAAAAAAATGATTTTAATGGGAAAACAGAAGTTAAAGCTTAGATAACTAAAAATTAAAAATGAAATAATATAAATATGACGATAAAACTTAATATTTTGACCTCTTAACTTCTCTTTAGATCTTAGTTATATTTTTTTGTGAATATTGAAAGGAATTAATTTTGAATAGTTCAATACTTCCTCGTAAAAAGCTTTTTTTTAAAATTTTATCTTGCAGTGCACAATATATGTTCATAAAAAGGATTTATAACATTTGTGCATACCAAGGTTTTATTTTAGAAAATTATAAGTCAAAGTTCTGCAGAAATATCTTTCAATTCATATGACATGATTTGAAACATGAAAATATCTTTCCTAACTGTAATAGAAAAAGGGCAAAAGATATGCAAATTTGCAGTGGAAACTTAGAATGCTGGACTCCCGTTTTACGCTGAGATTTTTTGCTGACTTTTTTCGCGAAGTGCAAAAAGTCTTTATTTTTATATTTTGTAGAATTTTTGAAAATCCTTCATTCAAAATTGTATTCTTTATGTTGTTATCAAGGAATTCTTATTAATTTTCTTTTTAAAAGTCAAATTAAAAAAATTTTTGGAAAGAAATTTTGACAACAATCAGTTGATCTGAGCCTTGGAACAAGTCTTCCCTCCTTTGATTAGGGTCTTGTTTAGATAGATTATTTATGAGATAATAGTTTTTTTTAGATTATATCAGTTGTGAGACTGTCCTGTCCTAAGAATTTTGCGAATGATTGCTTGTAATTTCTAGTTGTTAAATATTTGTAATTAATTGCTTTTGCTGTCATTATGACTTCAGTGTATGATTCTAATTTGAATATGTCACAGAGCTATTAGATATAAAACTTGTAACGGTGATGGTTTCATCTGAATAGCTATTTATTTTATAAGCTTAAGTATTACACCTTGCATAATTTTAGGTTGCATAGTTAGGTGCGCAATTTTTAATAAATTTCATCATAAATTTTAGTTGTATTTTTTACTAAACAGTCATATGTGAAATAAATTTAAATAAATGTACATTAAATAGGAATAGTAAGTTATGAAACAAAAGCCAAAAAAAAAAACATTTTTTTCTTTTTGTAAGAAAAACAATTTAGCCTGGTTAGCAAATCTGGCTAGCGCTACAATCGAAACACCTTAACAACCTTTAAGCACATTGATACTTTGTTTTAAAATGATTAATTTTAGTAAATTAGATGGCACTTTATCACAACATTTCTTTGTTTCTAAATTTAAATAAATATGAACAACTCATGTAAAATATCTATTTCTTATAAAAATTTATTCATAAATTACAATAAAATAGAAAGCTATAACATTGAATAATTTTAGAGACATCTTAGCATAATGATAATGGGTCGATATAAACAGTCACTATATTACAAATCATTCACTAACATTCAGGTTTTAACCAATCTTTTGGAACTAGGCCTCCTTCATAAGCCTTTGCAACAGCAGAATAGAAATCAGAGAAGTCAACGTAAGATTTGATTCGACCCTCCTCGTCCAAGGACATATCTGTTGCAGACTGAAACAAAACTTGTGGCCCGGCTGATTCGGACGTGCTCGTCAAAGAAGTGGCGTCATTCATGAAAAATGGTGTCTTTCCGTCAAGAAAAGAGCTGTCAATGGAGTTAATACCAGACAGTGTATTATTGTGCTCCGAAGTGTCACCTTCGACAACTTTGCTGGCAGATCCTATTGAAGTACTGTGAGCATTGGGAAGGGGACAATTGAAATTCCTTATCTATCAAAAATAGATGCAATAATAAGGTATATATATATATTAAATTAGTAGTTTTGTTAAGGTTGTTAAATAAAATACAATTATAAAAAAAATAGAAATTTATTAAGAGTAGGATTGGAGTCCAAGGAAGAATGATACATTCCATTTTTCCAAACCAATATATAATTAAAATTTGTAATGAAGTTCAAGACTACCTACTTTAATCAAATAATTTTAAAGTACGTTTTCAATAATTTTAAAACAAAAACATAATGAAAATGCAGCTTAACATTTTTGTACTACAGAAATTTAAGTGGTTGATCCCTAAATTCATTTAAAAATGTTATTCCCCTCATTTAAAAATCCTATGATATTACAGTATTTTTGATTGTTATCGGGATATTAAATAGATTGGGATTTAATTATTACTGGGATTATTTAATTATTATCGGATTGTTATCGGGATGTTAAATAGATTGGAGTTTAATTAATTGTGAAAATGTTGAATAGCACAATGTCTTTTTGCATAATTTGTGGCAAAAATCAACATGGCAAAGAAAAATATCACATTTCGGAAAAGGGAAAATTAAGCACTTTTNCGACAACTTTGCTGGCAGATCCTATTGAAGTACTGTGAGCATTGGGAAGGGGACAATTGAAATTTCTTATCTATCAAAAATAGATAAGGAATATATATATAATACAAAAATTATAAAAAATATTTTTGTATTAATAACAGCATTGAAACTCTTTCATTTTCATAAAATGTCGTTGGTAAAGAATAGGTGTAGAGATACTAATGAATTATAATTAGATTTATGTTTCAAAGGAGGAGATATTTTAAAATCTTTCCCTCTTTCACTTCCATATTAGGAAGTATTAAACGATTTTCGATGATGTGTGATTGTTAATGGACAATATAATACTACATATAATACAAGGAATGGACTTTTTGCCTCCCTTTGTTGTAGTATTTAATGCAGGAACGATAGCATGTCTTTTGAAGTATGACGTAGACCTGATAAGCTGTGCCGGAATTGTCCGAATGTTTGTCCACCCCCCTCCAGCTGGGAGAGTGGGTGAGATTTCTGTTTTCACCAGTTGTCAACTGAATAAAGCCTGATTAGAATTTAACGACTGATGACTTCTCTTCACTTGAACTAATATCAACCAAAAATAACAGGGGTGTAAACCTGTTATGATATATATATATTAAATGTGTAGTTTTGGATTAGGGTTGTTAAATAAAATACAATTATAAAAAAAATATTAATTTATTAATAGCAGGACTGGAGTCTAGGGAAGAATGATACATTACATCTTTCCAAACCCAATATATAATTAAAATTTGTAATGAAGCTCAAGATGACCTACTTTAATCAAATAATTTTAAAGTAGGTTTTAAATAACTTTGAAACAAAAACATAATGAGAATGCAGCTTAACATTTTTGAACTAAAGAAATTTAAGTGGTTGATCCTTACGATCATTTAAAAATGTTATTCCCCTAATTTAAAAATTTGATATTACAGTATTGTTGATTGGAATCTATAATTCTTTAAAATGAAATGAGATTGTGAAACTACTAAACTTCATATTACAAGATTTTTCACTGCATTTCCTGACAAAAATAAGAAAGTATATAATCCTTGAAATCATCATCATCAACATTTGCTTATGTTATATTGGTAATTGAGTTTTCTTTTCGTAGACTAATTTAATTTATAAAAGTTGAAACGATGAATCTTGTGGGTAAGATTATATGCATGAACCATGTCTACATCGAATCAGTAGACCGTCCTTACTATCCTTAAATTGAAACTATGGTATTTAGCTAGTGTTATTAATTAAAATAAAAAGATAAATTAAAATTACAAATCTTTTGATTCTTCAAAATAATTTTTTGAAAAATTACATTTGGTTTTCTTAAAAAATGGGATTTTCTAAATGCACACAAAAATTAGGAATATTAGGACAAAAAGCTAAAAATGAAGATAAACAAGGACAAAATATTTTGTATCGGGATAACTACAAAAACCCTGCAACTAATATTTTATTGAAGGAAGTAATCAATTTTTGGAAATGGATTCATATTTTGAATTAAAGAATAAGTTGAAAGATTCATAAATGTTAGTTTTTCTCTTCTTCCATTAACAAAATTTCTGGTATTCCTAATAAGTATAAGATTTGTTATCTTTTGTTTGTAAACTTGCTACTTGCAATTACTATTTAAATATGAATCCTTAAAAAGAAAAATGAAATTTATTTTAGTGTTATAGGTGTAGATAAACTTAAAAAAATATATAATAATTAAAATATACCAGGGTGTGTAGCCAAATTTTTCAACAAAAAATAAGCACTTTTCAAGCACTCAAAAAAGATTTTTAAGCACTTTGAAAAAGATCATAATTAGATAGGGTTGGCAAATTTTTGACAATTGATGGTTTTATCCGGTTTTATTTACAGCGACGAAGACGACGGCACAACACAAACGATGAAATTAACAGAGAAATGAAATTTTCTATCGCTAATAGAGAAAAAAAAAGTTGAGAATTTTTAGTTGGTCCCCGTAATCAGCAATAATTCGAGAGATTTTTCGATTCTATTACAGAGGGCGGAAAATGAAGTCTGAAATTGAGAATCTCTTGCAAAACGCAGCAGGGTTGCACATGAGAGTCAAAAATCCTTACCACTGAATCCTGCTCAGTATACGCAAGAGCAGACCTGCAAGTATTTCGTCAAACAAATGGTGTTTCCATACACTACAGACTGGCGGTAAGGCGAAATAGATTGGGGTTTAATTAATTGCGAAAACTTTGAGTAGGACAATGTCTTTTTGCATAATTTGTGGTGAAAATCAACATGGTAAAGAAAAATATCACATTTCGGAAAAGGGAAAATTAAGCACTTTTTAAAAACACCAATGGAAAAAAGCACCTTCAAGGGCTTTTAAAAACGAAAATCTAAAATAAGCACATTTAAGCGCTTTTTAAAAACGCTACACATCCTGTAAACATAGAATTTAAATTTTAAAAAAAAGATTCTGATTACATAAACAATTTTTCATTTTTCAAAAATATTAATCTTCTTAACCAGTTTTATAACAAATTTTTATGCTAAAGTAATACAGAAATTGGCTTAATGAAATAAGTGTCATAATATATGATATTAAAATAAGAGGCTATTTTCTAATGTTAGCCATCATTTTGTTCAAAAAAGTACCAGATCCTCATAGTTTTATATCAAGTCACATAAACCTACGTCATTAATAAATTATGGTGGAAGAAAGTTTTTTAATTCTCAAAGACAAATGACAAAACTGAAACAATATTCCAACCACAAAATATGTTTCAGAAAATAGAAGCTGTCCTATAAATATGATGCAGGGGTAAAACCGGTTAACAACCCCAGATGGTATTCTAACCATTACCATTTGAACATTAAAGAAAATTTTCTATGTTTATTTTTAAAATTGTAAAATAAAGTTGTGAATCTTTAAATCATACTTTTTTGCACAGCTGCAAAACTTTTCATAGAAACTAAAATTTGGAATAATAACTTTCTCTGAAATCAATTAAAGAAATACAGACTCTCAAAAAAAATCTAAAGAAAAAAGAACATGGTTTTTAATTTTTAAACTGTTGCGAGAGAGCAGATGGTTGCGCTAACCAAGGTTAAACAGATTCAATTTCTGTAACTGCAGTAGTAGTACTCTATTTACATCATACTAGTACTGCACTATTAGCTACAGGCAACAGTCTGAGAAACATCTCTGAGGATCATTCGATGGAATACCCTCCCAATTTCGATACTTTAATAGAGGAGAAAGTACCCTGCTTTGATAGCCTAACAACTTGGTTGTGAAGTCAAGCACTTCAGGGTAGAACAATTTAATGCCACTCGCCTTTGTTTCCTCTGCATACTGATCAAAGTAATCACCCACACAATCGCTGACTGGTGCCAGTCATGCTTAACTTGACTGATCTACTAGAAATTGTATCTTATGATTAGTCGACGGTGGGATTTCTATAACTAAAAAAACTTTATGAAAACTTAAGTTTAAATTGTTATAGGTTGCTTCAAACCTAAAAACTTATTATATACCAAACCTAACAGTTTCGTAATTTCTATCTTAAAATGAATGCCTGAATAAAACTCAAGATTTCAGAAAAGGCTATGAATCCCTAAAATTTGGTTCACAATTTTTCTCGCAGCTGCTACTTCAGAAATGCATCTGTGTTAAGAATTTTTCAACTTTCAATATTACAAGGTTCAGACATACAAAAATAATTATGTATGCTTTATCAGAAGATTATTTTAACATTAGTAATTAACTTGGCAAAATCTAATTCTTTCTTCACATAAAAAAATCAGAATTATAAAATACTCACCATTAGTGTGATATCATCTCTTTTTTGACAGCGTCTTGGATTGTGAGTATCCCTCAGAAAAGCATCATGGTGGATGCGGAGAACTTTATCCACAACAGCCTGTGCCACCCCATTTAGAGTAGACTGCTCAGAGAATTGCTCTAACACCATATTAACAAGCATTGCATTGACCTAAGCAGAAGAAACAGTAGTAATAAAAATTCAACACAAACATTAATCTAAAAATAATGTTTTTTTCAGGTTTATAAGGTAATCTAATTTAAAAAAGTTTAAAAATTAATTCCTAATTAATAAAGCTTTTCCCTTCAGAAGTTCTTTTTACTTTAACAGTTCAGGGTCAAAATTGAACTTTTCAATAAGCCTTCATCAGGCTAATCTTATCACTTATGTTCTTGGTTTTTCATGACTGAAACAACGTTCTCAACCATCAATCCATTTTTGATTTAATCTTTTCTTTCCCTGTGTGCCAGCTGGTCTGACATTAAAGAGTGTTTTTCTGGCTTGGTCTTTCTCTAGCCTGATAATGTGGCCAGGCCATTTTATTCATGTGATGACATTGGCAAAGTCAGTTATATTATATGAGCTATAAAGTACTAAGTTTAGTCCTAGCCAAACAGAAGTCAGTCAAAATTTTAACTGATGGAATATCATCAAATGGTTACAGATGGACCATATGAAAATTTTAAAAAATTTCTTGAAATTTTAAGAGATAGTAACAATTATTGGAAATCGTAATTTATCTACATGTACAACACAGAAATATTTTTACCTAAAAGGAATCAGTGACATATTAAAATGTCATAAGAGCATAAACGAAATGTAGTAGTTAAGAATTGTGTAGTTACCCAATTCATTGACTTACATTTAAGGATCCCGTTGCCTCTTCTAATGATCGATATAGACCATCAGACATTAAGAGAAGAAATTTGGATTTCTCATCCATTTTGATTCCTCCAACAATATCTGGTTCTGCAATAATAGGTTCATCTTGAGCATCACTAAAAGTAGTGAAATGAATAAATTCAAATACAATCAGTAAAATATAAAAAGTTATTTAAAGAGGTGATGAGAATTATAAACATTAAGTGGTACTTTTTTTGCTATCTTAATTACAAATGTTTAAGATATTTTCGTATGAAACGCTTTTCCAAGAATAGTAAGCCTATCCAGGAACATCCCAATATTCTCTGAAGCCCAAAACTGAACAGATTTCTCTAACTTAAATTGGATTACTTAAACATGAGAAATTATTAAGATATATATTAATTTATGTCAACATAAGTTATTCAAAACAATTATTTTTAATTTTTTTTTTAACCTTCAACTTTTTATTCCTTTCTCAACAGTGATATTTAGTTTAAGAAATGCTACTAAATTATCAAATATCAACGATTTTCTTCTTTTATTTCCTATACGAAACAAAGTAAATCAAAACCTACAAATCAAAGTATATTCCCTTCGATTGGAACAACATGTACATATTCTTTTAGCGTTTCACAAGTGTACACTTGCATTTGAAGGTATGTTAATTCAAATTAGAAGCAGGCAGCTTTGAAACCGACAGCATTTTTTTTAACAGGAGAAATTTACACACATGAAATTCCTGCTTTCATATTTATCGATCACTAGTAAGTATTATACACTAGCCAGAGAAGTTTATCATTATCATTAGGAATCTAAAGTAGCTTGCCAGACTTTCTACTTTCCTACTAGCCTTAATTTAAGATCATGCATAGAAAATTTCAAACTTAATTTTTTTTTAAATCTAATATTTTTATAGTAATCATAATAGTCTCTTCTTGTCTTTATTATTTAAAAATAAAAACTGTTTAAATGTAAAGAAATATGCAATGATATTACTAACTACTTTAAGCTTTTCATACATTTTTTAGTTAACCTGAACCCTTCCCCATCATATATTAATTCTTCTTCATCAGATGCCATGCTGCACAGTTTGAAAACCCTTGTAATTAATAATGAAGGTGAAATCAAAGCTTTTTTCCTCAATTATCTACTTTATAAGGCAACAGAGAACATTTAATTTCCCCTTAAAATGTAACATAACTAATTGACATAAATAATTTCACCTTAGATTATCAAATTCCTTGTATCCTCCTTTCACAGTGTAGTTCCCAATGCAACGAGTACAGTTTTGTAAACCAGATTTTTGTTGGTTTCTGATTTTCTCAACATCTAATCCCAGCTGAGATAACCTTAGCAGTTCGTCTTCATTACTAAATATATGATCTGGGCTCAACTGCACAATAGACGTTTTCATATTCTCATCTTCTTTACAGAGAAGCGCTCTGCTGTCTCCTAAAAACAATAATTTATTTATTTCTATTTATTTAAAACATGCAGCATTGCTGAGAATAATGATTAAATTGCAATTGCGAAACAATCTACTTTTTATTGAAAACCAGCTTTTTAAAAATTTTAAGAAAAGCTTTTTCTGCAAAATATACAGATGATGAAACATTTAAAGCTTTAAGTGTTTTATAAGGAGAAAATTATACGAAACAAAATTTTGTAATGCTATAGAAACGTCAATGAAATATTTTTTTCAGTTTTCAATAAAGAATCACGCCAGTTGTTTTTTTAATGTTAAATTTAAAAAAAAAAAAAACCTTGAATTTGGATTAAGCGAGCAATCAGATTTAACAAGCATTTTCTGTTATCTGAGTCCTTCATTATACATGAACCCTACAGTAATAACACAGGTAAACATACATGACAATACTTTTATTTCCGTTACTTGTAACAAAAGTAAAAGTACGTACTTATAGTAGTTTTTCCTTACTTTTTTTGGGAAAAACTATTTGTAATAAGAATGTCTAAAGAATTTTCTACTTTTTTTCTGAAATGTTATAAAAAATTTTCTCAAAAAGTTATTTTTAAAATTTTTTCTTTGAAATATTTGAATGTTTTCACCAGACAAATCTCTGGTTTCTTTTCGAACACTCTATGCTAAATGTCAAGGCCATTAAACATCTTCCTCCCCTTATTACAAAAGAGGCCTTTTATTGAAAGCAACTGCGTAACTCGGGAAGGGGGAACTTTGAAGCCTCTTTATTGGCAGGAAAATACAGCAATACTGGCAAGAAACCTGAATCCGAAAGTCACAAGGCGTCCCCCAAATCAATATCCAGTTGTCTCCAGATTTATCTTTGGATATGTTTGCTTATCTTCCAATCAATCAGTTGTGAAAATCGCTTTGAAAAAACATTTTCGGTATCTGCAGAGTAAATTTCACCCCAATTGTCAATTGGTTAGAAAGAAGAAAAAACACATCCCTCCATGGAGGATGCCAACCACGGTGATGAATCCGTGTAATAATAAAAAGGAGAGGATCTGCCTTGATTGACAACTAATTTACCAGTCAAACAATTTAAGATTGAATACACTCCTCTCTGCTCTAAAGAATAAAAACAGATGAAAGATACACATTTAAATATACATGTAGTATCTGTCTTTACACTTAGAAAAAAAAAAAAAATTGGATTTTTATTTTCTATTTGATCTTGAAAAGAAACAATGACTGTAAGTAATCATTTTCTACATATTTAAATAAATGCATGGAGTAGTACCCAATTTGTTAACATCCATCATATATGTTAAAATTTGTTACTACTAACTATGGTATGGCATCGATGGAAGGATCAAAGGAAAGCATTCGCATTCCCCCCTCCCTTAAAATCTAATAAATTAAAAATTTTATTTTGTAATTTTCCAATGTTACTTTTTTTAAATTTTATAGAAAAAAATTTTTGAGATAATAATTTTAAAATTTTTATTTTAAGACATAAAAATGTTTTTTTTAAAAATTTTTTTTTATTAAATTTAATGCCGTAAACAACTTACAGATTTGCGTTTTGTAAAAAATTTATTAACACAAAAACAATATTTGTTTTCAATTGTGTATAATTTAAAGTACTTATTACAATTTTAATTTATTTTTTACTATAAAGTTGAAATAAAATGGAAAAACTAAACTTTATACTAAAAACCTTTGGTTTAGCAGAATTGAACAAATTATAGAAATTTTATTTGAAAACTTAGAAGAACACCGATAAAAGTATTTTTTAAAATTAAAAAAAAAAAAAAAAACATTATTTTCAAAAGTATTTTTATTCATTTTTTTCTATTTGTATTTCCAGAGAAAAAAATTTCTGTGATTATCCTTGGTACATCATGAATGGTCTTTAATTTGGATGGAATTTAATCATTAATTCACTTAAAAACTGTATCCTATCAGGCATTTGTCTGCATGAAAAATCATTTTTAAATTTGGGAACTGATAAATCAAAAACAAATATTATAATTAAATATTTTCATGCATTTTAAAGTTTTATACATTTTAATTAAAATTTATTACATTTTAAATTAGAATTCAAATTTTCTTTAAATTTTTTTAAAGAAATTTAAGGTTACTTTGAATTTTTCAATTCCTTGAAATGTATTTTAAAATTGTTACTTTTTTGTTTTGTGCTTGTACTTTCTGCTCGTTACTTTTGCCTAAAGTATGTGAACTTTTACTCATAATTTTTTAAAAGTAACGTTCCCATGTATGCATGTAAAGGTTTCAGAGCCTGATAACTAGAAAACTAACACAACACATAACTTTAATTTTATTTCGTTAAGTTCTCAGTAAAAAAATTGTTTCACAAAATACAACCTTTTATAATTATTTTCTCTCAGAATCTTCTTCTCCGAGTTTCAAAATGAATATTTATGATGTTAAAAACAAATAAAAGAACCAATTTGTTTTCAATAATTCTTATAAAAGAATTTTATTTTATTCACAGTATATTATTGTTATTTTAAAAACTTTTTAGTTAAAGGACACTAATTCCATTCACAACTAAACAATTATTCTTTCACCAAACCAGGGTGGTAACACAACCAAACTTATTTTGATTTCAGCCAGAAGATGCAGTAAATATCTGTACCGTAATCCAAACACCCTAATCAAAAGATCTTTAATAATGAAAATATCTTGTTGCATATAAATGATGTATCTCTTGTTTTAAACTCGCAAATCTTAGCTTTCATCAGCACTTAAGGTTCTAAATATGTAAATTTAAATTTATAATTAGATTGTCTAACACTCTGAGCATTAATACCAACTTAAAGTTGCAGGCTTTCATAAATGAAAAAATAAAAAAAAATTCTCCCATGTTTTCTTAAATGAGAAAATAACATATAGCAGAAAACTTTTGGAATGATGGTATCAAATTCTGGGGGGCTTAAGCAAAGTTATAAATTTTAACAAGTTACTAAGTTTTGTAGTCAAATATGAAAGTAGTGAAAATTAAGACGACTATTAAGAGATTTCTGTTTCTTTTGTATTAAGAGATTTTTGTTTCTAGTTCACTTTGCAAATAAAATGTTCTTTTATTATATTTTGATGTAAATTTCTTTTTTCCATTAGTTTGATAAAAACTTTATCATGTGATAATTTTTATAGTCACTTTTATGTCAGTATGTCACTGTATTTTTATTATTATTATTTTCAGGTAAATTTCAATTTTGTACAGAATAAGTACAACTCTAAAATTTTTCAGAGAACTTTGAAAGCAATCTTACTTACCCACATTAGCAAGATACAACTTATTTTTCAATATCAAAGCAACAACAGCTGTTGTACCACTTTGTATTTCTTCTGTGACTGACTTCAATCTTTCAACCACTTCAGGAAATTGCTTCAAAGCTTCTATAGTACGTAATCCCTTAAACATTACACTTTGATAAATTATCGAAAGTAAGTTTATTAGGTTTTTAATATTAATAATGTATAATTAAAGGAGCAAGTGAATGACAGAAGAACATAGAATACTTAAAAAGGTTTGAATTATTGTTATACATAAAAGAGTTGAATCCGAGGGCATGGTTGTAGAAGCTAATTAAACGTAACATAATGCAATACCAACATAACAAAAATAATACCTCACTTAAAGTTCTTTAAACAATCATTTAAAAATGCTTCCCTCCCCTAATATGCTATCCTCTCTAACTTTCATTTCTTTTCTTCAAATAATAAAAGCATTCCCCTTCATTTACAAGACTAGGCACTGATTCCTTAAATTAAAAAAAAAAAAAAAAATTACCAAATTCACCATTATGACTTGCTTATTTACAGTGTTTTCAATTTCTAGAAAAAGTTTCTTATTTCTGGTGCATTCCTCTTTTGAAAAAGTTTCTTAAAAAAAACTCACAAAAGATTAACTTTAATTACATATATAGACCGTTTATTGGAAGATATATGATGCTTTTTAGATCTTATGACAATTGAATTAGAAAGAATTATTGGATTACATCTATACACACATAGAGAACTCGACAATTGTTGTCATTATACAGGGGTGATTTAAATTAAACTCATGTTACTTAGAGCCCCCGAGCTCATATTCTATAGAAAAGACCCAAATGAATATATGTTATTCAGCATACGTTATAGGGCCGAGGTGGAAAAACAAAAACACAACGAAAAATTTGGTATGAAAATTTTTTTAATAAATAAATATGGCAAAATTAGGCTAAATTGCTGTTTATAAAATCTAGAAGCTGCATTGCGATAAATGTACATTTAAAAAAAGGGAATATAACAGTATTGCTAAGCAAATAGATGAAAAAAATTCTCTGACTTTTCCAGGTTTTTCAAACATACTTTTTTAAAAATTCCACTCTAATATCGCAGTATGACAGTGCTGTGGTCAAAACATACAGCGAAACACAAAAAATTAATATTAATAATTTATGCATTATATTACATATTTTACTTCAATTAAAAAGTACACCCCAATACACTGAAAAAATGGTAGTAAAGACAAAAGAAATATATCATATAACAGAGAAAAAAAACTTCTGAGAAAATCTAAAATAGTTCTATCATTCATAATTGGTAAATTTGTTCTTACACATAATTAGGGGTCATTTTTATTGATGCTACATTTCATTAATTGATCCGGTTTTCATGAAGCCAACACAAGTGGAACTTTCACACCAAGAAAATGACACTGAGTAAAATTGAAATCGCTTACAATAAAACCTCAATAACATTTTACAAATGTGGGTAACCTCTAAGAACCACCAACCTCCATTATGCTATGGAACAGAGAGTGGTTGCTCCCGCAGGGTTTTACTGTATTAGAATTTGCTTCGACACAGGCAAGCAATATTTCCTTATCCAAGTTTCATTATTAGGAGTAAGCCTGGCCAAAACACTAACCAAAATGTACAAAATAAACTAATTAGTTATAGTAAAATTTCCATATTTCTTTAAAAGTATACATTCTAAGTTAATGAAAAATGATTTACTATTAATACATAATTATTTGCTTAATTGAATGATGGATGTAATGATAAAAACACCATAAAAAGTATTTGATATAATTTTTTTTTCTTCATGTAAATGTAATAAGCCAACACATTTAAGAAACATTATGGCTTACTTGAAGCTGTAACCTCAGATTTTCTTTTTCAGCCAGCAAATCATCAATAGATTCAAAAAATCCTTTCTCCACGGCTAAAAATGCTTGCTGCAAGACTTCACGGATCTCTTCATCCTTTTCTTTACCTTTCAGTTGACCCAAAAGAATTTCAGCAGGCATGCGTTGCATAGCGAAATCGGCTGCCTTTGTTCCAACATGGCCATCAAATACTCCATAGAAATATGTATTCTCATCATATCTGTAAAAAGGATTACAATTTTATTGGTTCTCAGACAATTTTTCAAAATTTTTTTTCTCACAGAAATAAAAATTAAAAGTCTTTTGTAAGTTCTATTTGACCCCTTCAGAATTGTGGATCATATATACATGATGACGGGATTCACCCTTTATGGCCTATGGTATCATATATGAAATGAGCCGGCAGATCATGATCACTTGGACATGATTTGAATTTGAACATTTTATTTCAACTTTTAAATAACACTAAATGGTGGTTGAAGTCTATTATAATTTTGAATAATGTCTCACAGGCATAGACCTTCAATATGCACTTTCAATTCCAAGTTTGTTTTTTTTATTTTGATCCTGGGTATTTAAATATATAAACTGCACTTGTTTGGCTCTTTTGAGAGGATTGGGCAGATGATTTACAACATTTTTGGGAATTTGTTTACATTTTGACAGACAAGGGAGGGGGGAGAATAGAATACTTATTGATTTATGTCGTTGTAGATTCCTCTTTTGCAGTTTTGGTTTTATTTTATGGTATTCTGTATGTTTTAAGACAGTTTTGTAATTGGTTTTCTTAATTATTGAGAAAATTTTATTTCAGTATATTCAGATACTATTAATGATAATAAAGTATAAATTTAATTGCAGTAATGATTTTATATAAGAATTTTTAATTGAAAGTAAGCTTGACAGAAAAAATCGCCTATTTGCATGCATATGTACACTCTAGAAGCGTACGAGTGTGGGGAAGTATTTCTTTCTCCTTTAGCTGGTCCTGAATAAGTTAAAGAATAAAAAGATTCATTTATTGTAACATAGATTGCATCTTCCATTTGGATTTCCTGAAATTATAGAATGATTTTTTTTTAAATCATACTGAATTCCACACATCTTCAGATTAAAACTAGAACATATTTCCATGTTACACTATCAAGAATTATATGAACAAACTTTTTACATTGATTGAAATGCGTCCTTTTAAACTTAGCTATCAAATTTTAAATTCTGTAGTTGTATGCAGTTTTAATACTTTTTCAAAGTCATTGTAATGCTATTGAAAAAGTTTTAAAAATACTTGTAACAATCCAATATGTATTTTTTCAACAAAGTCTTAAGGAAAGTATCATTTGTTTGAAATTGCAGTCCAAACCAATACATCTGAAACACTTTTTGTATTATCTCTCCACTTAAGTAACATCAACTTAATTTTTTGCATTTCTCATTCGAGTTTTCCTTTAAAGCTTAGTGATTCAATATTCTCAGTCTCTAATGATTTTTTTTTTAATGTACTGCACAAACTTTCTGTAAATCACTTCACAAAAATATTTTTCCGAGTTGTGTTACCAATTTTTTTAGTGTGTTCACCACTTTTTTAGTGAGTTACAGGTGTGTGTGTTCTAAAAATAAATACACAAATAAATCTTTACTACCAAGTCTAGGTTAATATTTCTATCATTTACACACATGAATGGATTTATATTCATTTGAATAAAAATTCTGTTATAACCAAAAAAAATTTTAATAATGAAAAATATTCCTATAACCAAAAATGGGAGGTCAAAATTCTACCATCAATCTTTTAGTTTTAGTAACCTATAATTAAGGGAATAAATATTTATAAATACATAATTATATGCAAAATCCATAATCTTCTTTATAGTTAATCATGCATATAAACATATAAAGGTTAAAGCAACAATCTTTAATTGTAAGAACATGCATGAAAATTTCTCTACCGATAATTTACACTCGGACAAAAACTATTTTTTTTCTTAAAATAAAAATTGAAGATTGCAATAAATTACTGGTTGTAATGGCATGATAAACATTTTTAACCCCAATATACCACACTTTTCAAAGAATAAATTGTCTTTCAAAAAATAATAATACATTCAAAAAATAATAATACAATCAAAACTTTTATATAATGAGAATAAAACTTATCAGAAACATACAGATTTTTTAAGTGAAAATTATTATTTTGAAGGATCTAAAATGTCTCAATTATGTCAGATTCAGACACTCAGTTTGTAGTATCATTGTAATTGATTAAAAATTTGCTTTTCAAGAAGTGTGAGTTAAGAGATTGACCTATACAATGAATTCATAAAAAATATCCCCATCTTGAAGTTTAAAGTAGAGGATTAACTAACACAACATATTGAACAACAAAATATGGTGTGTAAATAAGAAATTTATTTGCTATGAAAGATGTATAGCATAGATTCTATCTATAAGCTCAGTTTGAAGTTGAAATTTAAGAAAAAATTTGCCAGGATTTTTAAAACAGATAGTAAATTTAGTAAACTTACTTTTCAACGAAAACTAAAAGAATAGTAAACTAAATAAATCAGAGATAAAAGTTTAAAAAAACTACACAATCTACAATCCTCACCTAAAATGAAAACTCCTGTCTTCAAATGCATGTTCTTCCCATCTTAAGCCATCAGCTCTATATTTCTGGTTGATAGAAAAGCCAACACCAGATAATGGGCACACTGGAAGATCATCTGTCCAGCTATGGCATGGCTATAACAAATAAAACCATCAATTCAAATGTTCTATTCGTATAGAGTTAAAAAAATAAAAAATTGAATGATAATTGGCAATATTCAGTTAAGATATTAGAAAGGAAAAGTAAGTCTGACTCTGCAAAAATACATGGAAAAAGTTTTCTTTAATTACTTTAGTAATGTATCGTGATTGTCCTACATTAACCANATTATACAGGGGTGATTTAAATTAAACTCATGTTACTTAGAGCACCCTAGCTCATATTCTATTGAAAAGTTCCAAATGAATATTGTTGCCAAGGTGGAAAAAAAACCACAACGAAAAATTTGGCATGGAAATTCTTTTAATAACCAAATATGGCAAAACTAGGCTAAATTGCTGCTTAAAAAATCTAGAAGCTGCATTGCGATAAATGTACATTTAAAAAAAGGAAATATAACAGGGTTGCTATGCAAATATATGAAAAAAATTCTCTGCCTTTTCAAGGTTTTTCAAACATACTTTTTAAAAATTCCACTCTAATATCGCAGTATGACAGTGCTGTAGTCAAAACATACAGCGAAACACAAAAAATTAATATTAATAATTTATGCATTATATTACATATTTTATTTCAATTAAAAAATATAACACCACAATACACTGAAAAAATGATAGTAAATACAAAAGAAATATATCATATAACAGAGAAAAAAAACTTCTGAGAAAATCTAAAATAGTTCTATCATTCATAATTGGTAAATTTGTTTTTACACATAATTAGGGGTCATTTTTATTGACGCTACATTTTATTCATCGATCCGGTTTTCATGAAGCCAACACAAGTAGTACTTTCACACCAAGAAAATGACACTGAGTAAAATTAAAATCGCTTACAATAAGCCTTCGATAACATTTTGAAGTCAATGTGGGTAACCTCTAAGAGCAATCAACCTCCATTATGCTGTGGAACAGAGAAGGGTTCTTCCCGAAAGGTTTTATTGTATCAGAATTTGCTTCAACACAGGCAAGCAATATTTTACTATCCAAGTTTCATTATTATTACGAGTAAGCCTGGCCAAAAAACTAACCAAAATGTACAAAATAAACTAATTAGTTATAGTAAAATTTCAATATTTCTTTAAAAGAATACATTCAAAGTTAATGAAGAATGATTTATCATTATTTGCTTAATTGAATGATGGATGTAATGATAAAAACATCATAAAAAGTATTTGCTATAATTTTTTTTTCTAGTGTAAAAGTAATAAGCAAACACAATTACGAAATATTATGGCTTACTTGAAGTTGTAACCTCAGATTTTCTTTTTCAGCCAGCAAGTCATCGATAGATTCAAAAAATCCTTTCTCCACGGCTAAAAATGCTTGTTGCAAGACTTCATGGATCTCTTCATCTTTTTCTTTTCCTTTCAGTTGACCCAAAAGAATTTCAGCAGGCATGCGCTGCATAGCAAAATCGGCTGCCTTTGTTCCAACATGGCCATCAAATACTCCATAGAAATATGTATTCTCATCATATCTGTAAAAAGGATTACAATTTTATTGGTTCTCACACAATTTTTCAAAACATTTTTTCTCACAGAAATAAAATTTAAAAGTCTTTCATAAGTTCTATTTGACCCCTTCAGAATTGTGGATCAAATATACATGAAGATGGGATTCACCCTTTATGGCCTATGGTATCATATATGAAATGAGTCGGCAGATCATGATCACCTGGACATGATTTGAATTTGAACATTTTACTTCAACTTTTAAATAACACTAAATGGTGGTTGAAGTCAATTATAATTTTGAATGATGTCCCACAGGCATAGACCTTCAATATGCACTTTCAATTCCAAGTTTGTTTGTTTTTATTTTCATCCCGGGCATTTAAATATATAAACTGCATTTGTTTGTCTTTTTTGCGAGGATTATGCAGATGATTTACAACGTTTTTGGGAATTTGTTTACATTTTGACAGACAAGGGAGGTGGGAGGATAGAATGCCTATTGATTTATGTCGGTGTAGATTCATATTTTGCAGTTTTGGTTTTATTCAATGGCATTTTGTATGTTTTAAACCAGTTTTGTAATTGGTTTTCTTAATTAGTGAGAACATTTTATTTCAGTATATTTAGATATATTAATGATAACAAAGAATTGGAATTTCTGAAATTATAGAATGATTTTTTTAAATCATACTGAATTCCACACGTCTTCAGATAAAAACTAGATTATATTTCCATGCTACACTATGAAGAATTACATGAACAAACTTTCTATATTTATTGAAATGTGTCCTTTTAAATTTAGTTATCAAATTTTAAATTCTGTGGTCGTAAGCAGTTTTAAAACTTTTTCAAAGTCATTGTAATGTCTTTGAAAAAGTTTTAAAAATACTTGAAACCATCCAATATGGATTTTTTTAACAAAGTCTTAAGGAAATTATCATTTGTCTGAAATTGCAGTCCAAACCAATACATCTGAAACACTTTTTGTATTATCTCTCCACTAACAGTAACATCAACTTAATTTTTTGCACTTTTTATATGAGTTTTCCTTTAAAGCTTAGTTATTCAATATTCTCAGTCTCTAATGATTTTCTTTTTAAAAATGTACTGCACTAACTTTCTGTAAATCATTCCAAAAAAATATTTTTTCGAGTCGTGTTGCCAATTTTTTTAGTGTGTTTACCACTTAGTGTGTTGCAGGTGTGTGTGTTCTAAAAAGAAATACATAAATAAACCTTTACTACAAAGTCTAGGTTAATATTTCTATCATTTACACACAGGAATCGATTTATATTCATTTGAATAAAAATTCTGTTACAACCAAGCAAATTTTTAATAATGAAAAATATTCCTAATAACCAAAAATGTGAAGTCAAAATTCTACCATCAATCATTTAGTTTTAGTAACCTATAATTAAGAGAAAAAATATTTATAAAAAACATAATTATATGCAAAATCCATAATTTTCTTTATAGTTAATCATGCATATAAACATATAAAGGTTAAAGAAACAATCTTTAATTGTAAGAACATGCATGAAAGTTTGTCTACAGATAATTTACACTTGGACAAAAACTATTTTTTTTTCTTAAAATAAAAATAGAAGATTACAATAAATTACTGGTTGTAATAACAGAATAAACGTTTTTTAACCTCACTATACCACACTTTTCAAAGTATAAATTGTCTTTAAAAAAATACAATCAAAACTTTTATATAATGAAAATAAAACTTATCAGAAACATAGACAGATCTTTTAAGTTAACATTATTTTTTGAAAGGATCTAAAATGTCTCAATTATGTCAGATTCAGACACTCAGTTTGTAGTATCATTGTAATTGATTAAAAATTTGCTTTTCAAGAAGTGTGAGTTAAGAGATTGACCTATACACTGAATTCATAAAAAATATCCCCATCTTGAAGTTTAAAGTAGAGGATTAACTAACACAACACATTGAACAACAAAATATGGTGTGTAAATAAGAAATTTATTTGCTATGAAAGATGTATAGCATAGATTCTATCTATAAGCTCAGTTTGAAGTTGAAATTTAAGAAAAAATTTGCCAGGATTTTTAAAACAGATAGTAAATTTAGTAAACTTACTTTTCAACGAAAACTAAAAGAATAGTAAACTAAATAAATCAGAGATAAAAGTTTAAAAAAACTACACAATCTACAATCCTCACCTAAAATGAAAACTCCTGTCTTCAAATGCATGTTCTTCCCATCTTAAGCCATCAGCTCTATATTTCTGGTTGATAGAAAAGCCAACACCAGATAATGGGCACACTGGAAGATCATCTGTCCAGCTATGGCATGGCTATAACAAATAAAACCATCAATTCAAATGTTCTATTCGTATAGAGTTAAAAAAATAAAAAATTGAATGATAATTGGCAATATTCAGTTAAGATATTAGAAAGGAAAAGTAAGTCTGACTCTGCAAAAATACATGGAAAAAGTTTTCTTTAATTACTTTAGTAATGTATCGTGATTGTCCTACATTAACCAAGAAGTTTAGAGAAGCCAAGAAACTATTCTGAATAATGCAGGGTAAATAATTTTGTGGAGCTATTATACAGGTAGTACGAATGAAGATAACTTATTTCAATTCTTTTGCATATCTGCTTAAAAAAATTTTATTTGTTTNTTAAATTTTAGCCACGCCCTGAGAGCGAGTTATCGTGGAATGTCTGATTCCAAGGGAGTGTTCATGGTACGGTATTGAACATTCATGGAACCAAACTTTCCCAGTTTCACTTTCCAGCCGGGAATCTTCATTCCATTCCCGGTAGCTCATGGTAGGGCCCCTGGATGTAAAACAACTTGTACCAATTGCCAAAAATCTAGCATAACGTGTTCAACAATTTGTAAAAATTGTAATTGTACAATTTGTGAAAACTTGTGTATGAATGCTGATACTAATGAAGATGATGGTAGTATTCTACAAACAGTCTCTTGATAAGAGAAAAGAAAATGCAAATTAAAAATAATAATTTTTATTTTATTTACATATTTTTTTTTTATTTTTTAAGAGAAAGAATAGTTACTTTATTTTTAGCAAGTTAAAAAAAATGGAGCAAGTTTTACAATAGCTAGTGTAGGAAAATTTAAGAAAACAATTTATTATATTGGTACTCAATTTATACAAACATTTACAGATCTGGAACTTTCATTTTTACATCTTTTTTTTTTAAATAAGTGAAATTGTATTGTTTTTTAGAAACTGAACACTTATTTCAGTTCAGACTTTATTTTTATTTAAAAACTGCTGTTTACCTTGTACATAGAGAAGTTTAGGACACTACTGAAATTTATTTATAAAAACATAAAACTGGTGAAATTCATAAAACTGGTGAAAGCAAATAATTTTATTTTCTCCGGCTGATAAGGTACACAAATCAGACTATAAACTTGATGTGCAGTTATTCCATTATTGCATTCTTATAGAATTAAAGAAAATAATAATAATTATTTAAAGTGAAAGACAATAATAATTTTAAAACTGTAAAGTTAAAGAGGAAAAAATTATGAATAAATGAAAAAAGTTTTAGTTGGTATGGAAAGAAAAAAAAAGAGATTAATTAAAATTCAAACAATACCAAAAAATTCATTAATAATCTTACTTCTTGGAAATTGAGATGAACAGCTTTTCCACTCCTGGATAAATTTATTAGCTCAGCTTTGGTCGGCATAATTTTTTGGAGTGGAGTATTCATCTAAATATTAAAAACAAACTATGTTTCATATATAAAATAGTAGGATCTTAAGTTTTAACATCTGCAATTCAAGAGTTTTATCTAAAATCGAGATACATTAATAAATTGATTTTAAAAAAATGAATTAAAATCGAATATCTTACCTATTATTAAGTGCTAAATTTTATGCTTGCTAGATAATTGTTGAAATACCTGATTAACATTCATTACTGATAAATGAAATTAAATAAATTCACGATAAATTAAATATAATTTTCATGATAGTGGAATTTCATTCATGATAAGTGAAATTTAACAAAACCCAATAAGTTTAACAAAAACTTAAGTTAATACCTAAATGCAAACATAAAACTTTCAGAAAGAACTATATAAAGCTAAGCATGGGTGGCATATTTAAAATTAGTGATAAAACTTCCAGGTTGTTACTTCCAATTTATTTTTCCAAAACAACACACTGTCTAATATTCTTATTTTACTTTTTATAATATGACTTATGTTTTCATTCAGTAGTTCCAACCAATTTTAGCTAGAGACTGAAATTTAAAAACATGAAAACCCACACATTTTATTTGTAGTGATATTTTTTTTAAACCAATTTTTGGCTCTCTACATTTCAGAATTTATAAAATACAGAAAAATCTTATTATAGTACTAAAACTATATGCAAATCTGAATAATATAACTTTCTAGAATATCAAGCTTGTTCATACATCGTCCTGTAAACGTCACCGTCTAAGAATACATAGAGAGTTTCTAGTATTCCTCCCTGGTTTTAGAAGTTTGTTATTGTTTACACATAATTCCTCATTCCTACGATAAATTTCTAGCAAAAAATATTAAAAAAGCCTTCAAAATGACACAACTTTACTAGAAGGTTGACTAAAAAATGAAGTTTTACCTAGTAATAAATTCTCAGGAGAAGATTTTAGCATTGCAATCTGCGGCAGTATAGTTGCCAAGTCTTAAAAACTTCAGAGTTTTTAGAAAAAAAAAGCTTTGAAGCTTTAAGGGGAAAAAAGGATCAACGTGAATGGCATAACTTGTAACTACATTCGGAAAAACCATTACATGCATTAAAAAAAATTTTTTTTAGATCAATTTGGTGCCATTGTGGTTAAAGATGGGGCGATATATTAAAATACGAAACTATTCCTCCTTTGATTAAATTTTCAATTAAAAACTTAAATTTTCTTGGCTATTATTGAGTAAAATTTTTCAGTGGAAATTTTTACTAGTTTTAAAATATGCTGGAAATACTGTAGAAATAACTCCAGACTTGACAAGTACCCTGTACAGTTGGTATGATTTAATATACTGATTTTTTTTAAAGGAAAAACCTATATTAATTTAAATCACTAGATTTCTTTTTTAAATGGAAAACTAATGTCCCCCTCAAAAAAAATGAGCTACGTCTATGATATTATGACTGTGTATTTTAAATTAACTAGTAGCATTAAGTTAATTAGTATATAGATATATTAACTAACGAGATCAAATATAATTACTACAACCTAAGCATTTCAGCAATAATTTAAAAGTTACAATACAAATTAATCACTTTTTAAGGCCTTTTAAATATTATATTCCTTGTAACATTTCAATGTATCTCAAACAAAGCAAATAAAACTTTAATACCTCTCACACGCATTTATTACCTATAAAACAAAGAAAGCATACGAATAATAATAAAACAGTTGTCTAATTTCCCACTAAATCTGAATATCATAAACACTGTTTACAAATAATAATTAGGCGAAATTAATGACCCATACTTAAGAAATTCGTAGGAAACTCAAGACAAACATTATCAAAACGTATAAGTATAAATCGACAAAGAGTTTATAAGTAACATACTAACTCATTTCAACTTAAACGAGATGAAAGGTTATTAGCATTTTACGCAATTGTCTCGAAAAACAAACTTTAGTATTCTCAGTATTACTATATTGTATTTTCTAAAAAATTCGACCAGATACAAGATTCAATCTTCGGAGAATTCCACTTAGTTTTCGAATTTTTGATGTAGATTTATTTAAATATAATTCAAGTATTAACAAATACTAAAACATACGGAGAAAAAAAGTTTTCACATGAAAGTTCTGTTTTGTTTGGCAATTTATTTGTATCAATAGTTCATAATCAAAACCTTTTATTCGATATTTTCAGTTTCTGAACGTAAATAGAGTTTAGAACTGATAAAGACGGAACTCTCAATGAAACTTTTTCAACTATTACAGTTTGTACTGAATATTCAGATGTGTCACGATCGATATTTTCAATCTGAAAAATCTCCATTTGGCGACATGGCGACATAAAAGAGGAAAGTGCTTCGACCAATCAACGAATATGTCTGACTGTAACCTTCATGCATACAATTCCATCTTAGGACATTATTTTCAGTAGATGGCAACAGCGTGATCGCAAGCTGGAAACAAAGCGATGAAATTTATTTATTTATAATTATAAATCATGCAATGCAATGTCTAAAAGAACTTCAGTTTAGGTAGTGGTATTGCAATTTTTAAAATTTGATCTTAAAGAAGAGATTAATTTTAAATAAAAATTTTATCTTTAATAGAATTTTATAAGATTTACAAGGTCGTTAAGCTCCATTATAAAAATTTTTTTTTTAATTTCCACGAAGAATAAGTCCGTTTCTCGTCGTCTGTTGAAAGAATTGTTACATATTCGAATGTTTAAATGGATCTCAATAATCCATGAAGAACAATGAATTCATGATTTTCCCATTAGAATAAATTAGAATTTTGTGTATCTACATTTTTATAAACTGATCAATGGCGCAACAGCCTTCAAGCAGTGCTTTAAGAGCCTTGGCGTTGGAGTTCAAAAGCTTACAGGAAGAACCCGTTGAAGGCTTTAGAGTGAAATTAGCGAATGACGATAATCTTATGGAATGGGAAGTAGCTCTCTTTGGCCCCCCTGAAACACTTTATGAAGGAGGATATTTTAAAGTGAGTTTCTTTTGTTTATTTTCTGATAAAACCAGCTCACAGCTTTATAAAGAATATTTATCTCACTAATATGTATGGGAAAAGATTTATAACTATTTAATGAAAATTATAAGTTAAGATTGTCAAGATAAACTGAAGACAATATTATGTATATATTGGGACCTTTCACTAAAATTCAAGCATCATAAAAGTACCTTTTAGAAGAATTTCAGAATTCTGAACTTTGTTCATTTGGTTATAATTTTTATTTGAAAGTATTACCTTTAAAAGTGAAAACTTTTTATAAGAAAAGAAACTGAAGACAAAATTTTTAATTATTTATCACAGATTCTCTTAAATTTAAAGATTAGAATTTATGTAGTGATTGAAATGTCCAGTAGTGTTTTGCCTGGGGAGATTTCCGTATTGTGATTAATTGCCGAATTATAATTGCCAAGTGGTGAAAACTTCCTGAACAGCAGTCCGCTAGAAACTAAAAAAAACTTCACAGAAGAAGACCAACTCGAAAGGTATAACTTTTAGCCACACCCGGGTAATGCTAACATCTACATAAAAAAGAAAAAAAAAAGACTATTTGCAAGCTTAAGAATTATTAGCACCTTGGATATTGTAGTTGGTGCAACAGATCACGTTGCGGAGTTATCCCCTATTTCTTTTGTAAATAATAGGTATAACTCTATATAAGCTTTGAGCGCTATAAATTTTGTGACACATAATTTACAATTGTCTTCATATTCGCTAAATGCCAGCTTCATTTTTATGTTACCTCAGAATATCTACTTTTACCATTGCTTAAATGTTTGATATTCGTGATCGTAACGCTCGTATACACCATCTGGGGAGAAGTCCTGTTCTGTGTGTTGACCTTACCTCCTTCCTTCTCCTCCTCTTCTCAGTTATATAGGAATTTACTGTGATATTTTCCACTTTCTTGAAATTTTTTGTATTTAATTGTCAAAAGTAATTTTTATAAATTCCGCACTGCTTTTTCCCCCAACTATGCTAAATGTAGTTTTTGGTTCCTTAAGGTTTCCTAACTTAAAAGTTTTTAATCTATTTGAATATCTAGTCAGAAACTGATATACTTCCTTCTTCTATGACTCTCCACACACTAATGGTAAAAGCATGCGAAGTGGTGTCATAGGTAGAGAGTTCTGCTCTATGCCGCCTGTAACCCATTTTGATCTTCAATAGTACAAATTGCATAGAAGGAATATATGTAAAAGTATGTTCTCACCTGGACTTAATCAGATTCTGTATTTCAGAAGTTCAGAAGTAGTCTCAGGGAGAAAAGCAAGGTTTAAACCGTCCTGTCCAAAACTGTCCAAAACCCTTTTACTCAAATTATGTCACAATTTTATCTGAACAATATTTAAGGGGTAAAAAAAACATAGAACTAATAACATATTGATAATTAAATATACTAGAGAATATTTGTTTTCAAAAGTATAATGTTTTATTAATATTGTTTGACTCTTCAATTTAAACAAAGGAAGATTAATCAGTAATCAAGTTCATTCAATTGGTCCTCTCATTCAATAGTACATAACTGAAGTTTGGCCTTGCCATACAGGTTAAAATATTAGGGACTAAGTGCTTGGTTCGTCATAAACAGGTTTATTTATCTATAGTACTATTCAAGAATACTTTTATTTCATTCATGTTCAATTCTTTTAGCATAGTGGTGATACATCACCAGTGTCAGTAACTGAAACTGATGTTATGCCCTTCAAAACTGTTAATACATTTTTCAGTTATTTCGTATTTTCAATTTAAACTAATATATTTATATTTTAAATTTTTTTTTTTTAAATAGATGTCTTTTTTATAATCCTGTAATGCAGAAATTATAACATTTTTTTTTTAAAAAATATTGTGAAAAATAAAAGGTTAATTTTTGAACAAATTTAGTATTTTTTTAGGAAAAATTATTATTTTTTTAATATTGCCATATTTATCCTTATGCAAAAATATTATTAATCAGTATTAAAAGCATATTTATATTTAAAGGATTAGGTATTCACTTTTGTTGTTCAATGAATTGTGGAGCTTCAAAAATTATAAACTTTTTCCAATTTTATTATATTATTTTCTTTTAATAAGTTATAGTAAATTGTATAAAAAATAGCAAATATTTATCGATACATGTAATTATTATGTGTTCAATGGTTACACCTATAGAATTTTTACCTTTTACCAAAGTTCAAGGTTTGGGACTCTTTAAGACAGTTTTACCCAGTTTAAGACAGTAAAACCCACGTGTCCCGTCCAAAACCAGAACTCCAACCCTGACTCTTTGTTACGCTGGACTGGGAAAGCAGTTTCCAGTTATAGCCAGCCACATTTTTAATGACAACATTTTAAGAAATGTTCATCTTCAGGACTAATTTTACTTTATTAATCAATATGATGATGAATATAGATACTTGGTCACTCATGTAATAATTAAAAAGTTGTCAACAAGTAAAATTAAAAAGGTTTTTGTTTTTTTAAAAGAAATATGAGTTATTCCTTTTCAGTTGTTATATAGGTCACCCCAGTAGCCTAGTTTTAATTTATGTTCGAGGGGGGTTACTCGGTTATCTCTCTCCTACTGATATATATGTATATATATATATACAGTGGCGTACGCAGAATTTTTTCAAGGGGGGGGGTTCATAATTTTCAGAAGTTACTAAAAGAAATTCGAGTATGTAATAAAGCACTATTACTTCCCTAATTTAGACAGCTAGACAATTTTGACTTTTTATTTCTACAACATTGTTTAGTTAAATTTTGTTTTTATTTTTTAAGTTTAAGAATATAATTTTTTTTATAATAAGAGGTAAAATATTTTATTTTTATTAAAAAGTAGGAATAAATCAAGCCAGAAAAAACTACTCATACTGTAACAGCTACCAGAATAATAACCATGTAAATGTGAATATTCCATAGAAAACCAATGAATTTAACTGAAAAATGACTTACCAACAAATAGGGAATTAAACCACTATACAAACACGCTAAAAATTTATTGATTTATACTGTAATATCCAAACGACGGGGTTTTTTTGCAAGTTCGTTTAAAATGTCTTCGACAGCTGGGGTAAATTTTCTATGANAAAAATGACTTACCTACAAATAGGGAATTAAACCAGTATACAAACACGCTAAAAATTTATTGATTTATACTGTAATATCCAAATGATGGGGTTTTTTTGCAAGTTCGTTTAAAATGTCTTCGACAGCTGGGGTAAATTTTCTATGAATGCTTAAGAGCGCCAATCCATTCATTCTATTATTTCCCATTGAGTTGCGTAAATAAGTCTTCATACGGCGCAAAGTCGAAAAGGATCTTTCGTTTGCACTCGTTGAAACAGGTAGAACGACCAATATTTCTAGGAGTTTGAAAATGTTTGGTGTTATATCTTTATTGCACATTCCAAGAGCATCCGCCGCAGTTTTTGGAACACTACCTCNATAGCATACATAAATTTAAATTTTTAAATAATGGCGTATATTCAATCACATTTTGTTTTCTTTTAAACATGTCCTCCAGGTGATTTCTAGAATGCATACTGTCCGAAAACTTGAGAAGCATCTTAAGATAGTTGCCCAAATAACATACATAAAATAAAGGAAGATCAATTGCGTTTTCTAAAGATTTAAGGGAGTTCAACTGATGGTTTCCACCGTACGAACTGTCTGGCTACTTGGGAAATGTGCTCAAATAGTTGCTCAAGAAGCATAAATTTCAGTTTTAGGTTACCAAATGTTTATACAATACTTTTTTTGTATAACCTACATCTGTTAAGTTATACAAAAAAATTATGTATCGAATCACGGTAAAAAAGTACCTGCACCCTGAATGCGGGTACTTTTTACCGTAAATTCCATTTTAACCGGAACATGTTACTGATTAAAAAAACTGATGCCCACTCAATGGAACGCAACGGTTAGTTTCATCAAAATTACAAGCCTTCGGTGGTAAACATTGGTAGTCATAAACTCAGAATTAAGTCTGCTGCTCTCCTCTGCTTATAAAATAAAATTTAAAAAAAATTAGCGTGAGATGTCAAAGTACTGTGAAATATTCCAAATCAAATTATGGTATAAAAAAGGATTTTACAGTAAAAAATACTGGTCCCCGGCACTGACTTTTTTCTGTAATTTGATCCGGAATGTTTCACAGCGTATTAATATCTATCATATTACTTCGAATGAATATAGAGAAGAAAATAAACTTAAATAAAAAGTCCTCCAAGCTCCCATAACTTATCAATACCTCTGGAGGCATTGGATCAGCGATTGATCGTGCTCTGATTTGAAAAAGTTTCAATTATGTTTTTTTTAATACTAGAAAGTATAAGCAGTAATATTAATAACTAATTTTATGCGTAAATTGAAGGGGTTTAAAATATTAGTCAGGTTATTATCGAACTGATTACATTTTAATATAAAATTTTTAAAAAAAAGAACGCAAATCCTAGTAATTGCTAACGCTAAAGTAATATAAATTAAATATGAGTTTTCCTGGTTAAAAATATGTGATTGAATTGCATAAAAACTGTAGTTTGTAGAGAGCAAACGATTGCAGATTTGGAATATCAGGGAAGCCAAAATATCTTAGATCTGTTCAAAATCTCATGCAACAGCAAACAAAACAAAAAAAACTTTTTTTTTTCGGTGCAATTAATAACAAAGTTTTAAATTGAATAATAATTTCTATACAAAAACGCTTCCATCATGTTATTTAAAATACTTTTAATGCCTAAAAGTGTAAGCAATAACCTTAATAATTCCTATTATGTGTAAATTGAAAACCCTTAAATTATATTAGTCAAGTTTATATAAATCAAATTAATGTCATGATTTTAATACAGAATTTTATAAAAAAAAATATAAAAAAATCCAACTCAAATTCCAGAAATTGCTCACTTTAAAGTAATATCACTTAAAGTACAGGGTTATTCATAATTCCCTCCGCCTGTAAACGCCATTTTTCTTTACTACAACCAGGGCTAAAGAGAATACAAGGGCTAGTTCACTTCGCTCTTAAGGTCTGGTTTCTTAGGACAAGCGCCTTATCTGGGCGTCAGCGGGACGTCAACGTCACGCTGACGCCAACAAAATACTGGTTTGTTAGCTCAAGGTCTGGTTTCTTAGAACTAGCGCCTTATCTGGGCGTCAGCGGAAAGTTGACGTAGATCTGACGCCAAAAAAATACTTTTTTGTTACCTCAGCATATATATATATTCCAAATGTTTAAATTACAAAAAATGAATAGTGAAAACTTTTTTATATCTACATCCTACTTACCACACATTACTTCATTAATCAATCATGCAATGTTTAATTTCGGAGGGGTTGTGACCCCCAAGCACTCCCCAAAACTACGCCACTGGGTTATCCCCAACCTTTCCATATAGTTTTTAAGGTCTTATATATGTAATAGTTCTGTTAATGTTTTTTGTAACACTGTAAACAACTTAAATGCATATGTTGCTCAAAAATTTTATGTATTTATTGTGTTAGATAGTGTTTTTTTTCTTCCTGTATTCATTATTGATATGCAGATATACTACATTTTCAACTGAAGCTTTAAAATTTTAAAATAGTTTGTTTATTCTAGGCTCATGTAAAATTTCCACATGATTATCCATATTCTCCTCCTTCTGTTCGTTTTCTTTCTAAAGTATGGCATCCTAATGTGTATGAGGTATGTTTTATTATTTTAATTTTTGCTGTTAATTAAACTAAAAGTTGATACAGAATACATTTTAAGTTATAATTTGAGTTTAATATATCTACTATGGATTGCAAATTCACTTGTGTTCCATTCACATTATATGAATTAATGAGAGGTTTGAATGTAGTGATTCCACAAGACTTTTGAAGCGACATGTCCTTAGGACCCAAAACTTTGATATTCCAGGTCCTTTTTATTTAAGCGGATTCTTTTTTTAAATTTAAATCTTTTAAAGCATTCTAAATTTTCAAAAATTACAAATTCTACTTTATCTTCTTATGAGCTGGTTACTAACTACTGCTTCAAGTAATATTTATTTATTTATTTTTTTTTAAGGGAAGAAAAGAGGAAAAGGTAGTCTCGAAGTTGGAAAATAAATTATAGTTTTTGGACAAACGATAGATTCTGTACCTCTTTATCCATCTATTAATAAATGTGTTTATAAGGGTTATATGGACATAACAAAGAATTTAACAAAAAAGTTAGATTTGATTTGAAAGTTTTCTTCTTATCAATCTTCTTATCTTATCAATCACTTATATCAAGGAGAAATAGCACTGTAATTTTCTACTTAGAATTTTTTCTTTTTCTCCTACCTTTAATGTAGAAAAGAAAAATTTAGTTTTAAGTTTGGAGAATTACGCATTCCAGAGGATACTTAAAAACTTTTTTATTTGCATCCTCACTATGAATTCTGCCAAGCACATAAGCGGAATCTTTAAGTGTTACGTCGTTTATTGATTTATCTTCAAATGTATTTTTTCATAGCTCTGATCCAAGTTTACCTTTTTTGGGGATTATTTGTAGTAAATATATTTTGGATTATTTAAAATAAATTCCTCAATGATGATAAATATTTAAGCCAATGGGCATATGCAGTGCGCAAAAAATTAAATGAACTATGAAAATTAAATAGTGTTCTACAAAAGTTAATTTTTGTCAGTATCTTAAAAATTAGACGTGATGGAACAAAACAGTTTTCAGATTTGAAATCAGCATATCAGGAAAGGTAAACACCATGTCAGATATTTATGTGATGTTTATCAGTGTTATGTTTCATATAAAATTATCTTGGGTACATATGATATATTATTAAGTTCAAAAAATTAAAGTAATGTTTGGAAGACCAAACTTTCAACTGCGTACTTAATTAATTGCATTCCTACTTTCAACTACATTCCTAATTATTCCACATTAATTAGCATTATTTAAGGTTAACCAACTGAATCGTTGAAGTTGAGTTTTATTACATGGAAATCTAATTATTAGATCACAACTTATTAATATGTTCTTTTGTACACTGTACACAGAATATCTTTAATTGGAAAAATTAATTACAGATATATTTTTGATCATGGAGTTTTTATTTTTCCCTTTTTACTGTGCAGTTTTTTGTAAATGTCCTATTTAAAAAAATTTATTTGAAGCGAGGCAATTTTGAATTACATTGCAAAAGTAGATATAATCTATGAATGTGTTTACTTTTAGAATGGAGATTTATGCATATCCATCCTGCATCCTCCTGTTGATGACCCACAGAGTGGTGAGTTGCCTTGTGAACGTTGGAATCCTACACAGAATGTCAGGTACCATGATTTCAAATAATAATTATAAAGAAAAGTTAATGTGCATGTCATTAAATCTTTCTTCTTTTTTTAGGACAGTTCTACTCAGTGTGATCTCTTTATTAAATGAGCCGAACACTTTCTCTCCCGCTAATGTAGATGCTTCAGTAATGTATCGTCGCTGGAAGGAATCCAAGGGTAAACATAAAGAATATGAGAATATTATAAGGTATTTTATGTTCAATATATTTCTGAAATTTTAGAGTTATTTTAGGAAAAATCAGAGCTTTAAAAGAAGTCTAAAATGGATCCTTCACAAAATATTTAATTGCTATCATGAAAATAGACCCTTTGTAGAACTTTTCTTTTGAAAAACAACTAAGACTCCTTGAAAAATATAGTTTTTATTTTTTTCCTTCATTGAAACAAGACCTTATTTTCCTATATTAATCAAATTACAAGTAGATTTTTTACAATAATGGGCCTTTCATAAAAGTCTTAAACAGATTACAGATTCTTTTCAAGATCAGGGCTTTATGTTTACACAATTATGAGTAAATTTTTCGTAATAACTCGTAAAAGCCGCTCAGGGAATAGAGGGTTCGCCTTCAATGTGGTGAACCGGGTTCGAATCCCAGCATTGGCTGGTCGATACGAATTCTGCACCGACCAAAGTGCTGGCGTAAAATATTCTGAGTGGTAGGCGGATCATGGGTTATATTCCCTTGTGAGGGTTTTGTGATTTTCTTCTCCATGTAACACAAATGCGTGTTAGTTCCACCATAAAGGTAAATTTCTCCGAATTCTTGATCCTGAAGTTCCTTTGTCTTCTGGATTGAGTTAAAAATTACAAGGCTACGGAGTTGAAGTTAAATTAGTCGAGAACCCGAAATTGGGTCGATTGTTCAACAACTGTTATAAAATAGAATAACTCCTGATTGGTTGCATGAATATCATAGTTGATATTAATCTTGGACGAAATTTTTTTCTTCCTGAAAGAAGGTGAATAAAATCTAAGCTTGGGGGGGGGGGACTTTTTATATATATATATATATGAAAAAAAAAGGCCTAGTTCGCGAGTTTTTCATTAAAATTTTGATGTAAACTTTCCTTCTTTTTTTTTAGAAATATTTTTATTTTTATGTCCATAATAAGATTATTTGATTTGCCTCTAATGTGAAAGTTAAATTATATAGTTAATATTTATAACTTTTTTTGTTGGTGTGTTAAGTGGTTTTAGACTAGTACTCTATTGTTTTTATTTCTGAACAACAAATTTCCAAATTTTTTTATTGCATTAACACAGGACTAGTTTCAGAGTCTGTTGGAATGAAATTTTAACATAATCACTTTGCTCACTAACTATTACAACTTATTATACCAATTTTGTTTTTAGGCTCTCTTTTTTAACTTTTCAGCTTTGGTTACATATCAGGGTTAGCTAGTTGGTAGGGCTCAACCAATGTGGCTTAAACTAAATGGTTTAAATTAAATGGTTTAAAAAAAGAAGAAGAAAAACAAGCTTCTTTTTTTAAATATTTTATATACTTTTATTTTCTATTTTTATAAATCTTTTCAGTTTGATTGTAACAAATTTGAAAAAATTAAAAAGATTTACAATTTTAAGTTTAATTACTACTGATAATCTGCAAATTTTAAATGTTTAGTTAGAAATGGTTTTCCTCAAAAATATCTATGTTAAAGGCATTTTGTCCAAAAGAAACCTATTTTTCCCGGAAAATGGAAGAAACTAAAAATGACCAATACTATCATATAACAAAAAGTATTATAATAATAACTCAGATTTAAATAAATTAAATTTAATATAGTAGCAGAAAGTTTAATTTTTTTTTAAAATTATTTATTTATTAGTTTTTAGATGATTTAGAAATCTTATTTCAGAGTTGGTTTGAATATTCATACTTAACTTCATTTGATTAGAATAATCAGTATGCTATTTATAATTAATGTTTTTAGTTGTATCTAAGTTTAGAATGTGATTTGTTAATTTAGTGATATTAATAAAATTTGATTATGTTATTTTAACAGTTCCTTACAAAATTATAAAATTAAGTTTTACTCTTTAACATAAAATATCAAAACTAATTGTTTTAATTTTCTAAGAAATTCATAAAAAATTTTAGATTTTATTTATTTAAGAATGACACATTAAATAACTCAATTATTTAAACTAGATTGCAATTATGAAGTGTTTAAAAAATTGTTTAGATATCTGATATTTCTTTTTAAAAAAGAGTCTTCCATTTGGGATAGTAGAAGCCTATTTCTTTCGAGCCAGTTTTTTTCAAAAGTTTATTCCACTGTGGAAGAAACTTGCCATTTTTGATTGTTAAATAATATGAGCAATTATTAAATTAAGTCATAATGCTTCTTAAAAGTGTTTATAATGAAATAAATGTCCCCTGCTCTGACCCTAAAATAAATGACCATATCAAATGATTTAAGGAGTAAATTTAGATCAGAAAACATTAATATATATATATATATATATATATATTATTCTCTATTTATTCTTAGCAAACAAATTAATTTTTTTTCCAATATTTAAGGGGACGCTATGTTTTTAATAAACTTAAACTGGTATTTAAATATGCTTAAACTTAAATGGGTATAATTAAAATATATTTATCTATAAAACAGTAAATTTTTTCTATGCAACTAATGCAAAATTATAATTTAAAAATTAGGTTCAATCCTTATTTACATTTGGTTCTTTTTTCGCCTTTTCCATATTATTTAGATAAAACTTTCACAATCAATGAAATAAGACAGAAAAAATTTATAATCTGCAGAATGTATTTTANTTATTTAAATATGCATAAACTTAAATGGGTATAACTAAAATATATTTATCTATAAAACAGTAAATTGTTTTCTATGCAACTAATGCAAAATTATAATTTAAAAATTAGGTTCAATCCTTATTTACATTTGGTTCTTTTTTCGCCTTTTCCATATTATTTAGATAAAACTTTCACAATCAATGAAATAAGACAGAAAAAATTTATAATCTGCAGAATGTATTTTAGTATGTTCAATACCATATGAAAATATTTTAACTGTTTTAAAAAAAATTATGGAATGAAAATATAAATGAGATTAAAAATCATTTCGAAATCCATTGCAATATTGCCTAAAAACCGATTAGCAAATCCTTTTATCTTTGAAATAATTGTGAATGTAGTATGTTAAAAAGTAACTTCATATGTACGTTTAATTAGTATTGCAAGAACTATGTGGAAATCTTTGGTCAAAAATTGCCTGAAAAGTTGTTGACAAGACGGAATTATCACAAATTAAGTGAATGAAATTGTCAAGAATTAATTTAGTTAAGAAAGTAATTACTCAATGTGAAATTTGAGTTTGTGGCTTGTGATATGTTGAAAATCAGGAATCTATCAAAAGATTTTAAACGTTGCCTTAGCCATGTATGTAAACGTTGCCTTAGCCAACGTTGCCTTAGCCATGTATTTTAAAATTGAAAGCTTAAGGGGTCTAGAAAATTTTAAAGTGAAATATTCAGTGTTTTCTGTAAGTGTTGTTAGAGGGGAGGCATACCCAGCCTGCCTTTCCACAGAGGTAACTGCACCCTCCTTGCCCTTTTTGTAAAAATTTTGTCCCCTATTTGTTCCGAAAAAATAATTTTCGTTTGTTTTATGAAAAGAGATTGCAGTAGCAGAAACCAAGTGCTTCAATAAACCATAACTGCTTCAAATTATTTTTAGGTTAAATAATATAAAATATTATTTCTCATATTTATTTGGGTATTTTTAATTCCGTTTTAAAGGGCACTAATTTAACTGGATATAATTAGCAAGATTAGTGCCCTTGTTTTTGAAAAATCATCCTGCCCTTTTTTAATTTTTTGGAAAATCTATGATATTGTATGATTCTTTGCACAAATAACACATCGGCTGATAAGTTCCCGGTCTAATGAAGTAAACACAACTTTTTTAGTAAAATTCAAATTTATTCATCAACATAGTCTCCTTTAAGAGATATACAATCACTCCATCGCCTCTCTAACATCTCTATACCTTTCTTAAAAAAAGAACCATCTTTGGCCTCAAAATAGGCGTTTGTTTCGGCAATCACTTCCTCATTCGTGCTGAATCTCTTACCCGCGAGCATTTTTTACAAGTCTGCAAACAAGTAGAAGTCACTAGGAGCCAAATCTGATGAATAGGGTGGGTGCAGGTGAATAGGGGATGTGTGATACAATGTCAAACAGCTCTCGGAATCATCATTTCGTTGTTGTTTTTGGTCGACTGTTAGCACACGCGGCACCCACTTCGAAAACAGCTTTCTCATAAACAAATGTTCATGCAAAATAAAGCCTACACGCTCTTTTGATATAGTATTTAGAATATCAGCTATGTCATGCAACTTCACTTTGCGATTTTTTATAACAATTTCGTGAACTTTTATTATGTTTTCCGGATTAACCACATCTTTAGGGCATCCAAAGTGTGGCGCATCTTCAACATTTGTACAACCACGTTTAAAATCAGCAAACCAGTCAATAATGGTCGATTTTCCTGGTGAAGAACCCGGATAACATTTATCGAGCCAAGCTTTAGTTTCTACCGTGTTTTTTCACATTAAATAACAATGTTTAATAAGAGCACGAAATTCTTTTTTATCCGTTGTTTCAATAGGTGTTCGATTAAAATCGCTGTAAATTTAAAATCAATCGGCAGATCGTTATAAAATTTTGACACCTTTTATTTTAAGGTTAGGACTTGCTAAACAAAATACTAATTTTGCATTTACGGCGCGATCTGTATGTCAGACCGGAAACTTATCAGTCAATGTGTTATGTTCAATAATTGATATGCTATATAAAATATATGTATACTTGCTTACTACTATAGATTAAACTTCTTAAAATTTATTTCTACCTCATTATATTTTTCGATTGCTAAATAAACCCTTCATATTTTAGAATTTGAGTTTAGCTTTGATTTTAAATGGTTATTTATTGATTTATCAATATTTCCTCTAAGAAAACAAGTGTTGGCCACGAGAAGTGAGGCTGAAAAGGATAATGTGACTGTTCCCACCACCCGAGAGGAGTATTGCATTAAATATAGTGCTAAGCCAAAAGAACAAGAAGCTGATATGACTGATTTTTATGATGATGACTATGGTGATGATATGGATGATGATGAAGATGAAGAAGAAGATGATGATGATAACCTGCCTGAAGATAATGAGGACTCTGGAAATGACAACTCATGATTGATGCTCCTATGAACTCTTTTTTGGTGAAACATTTTTACAAAGCTCTATCATGCTTAATTGAGTTTTGTTGATGGAAGTATAAATAAAAATTCACTTATATTTCGACTAATATGTGCTGAAATAGAATTTATTTTCTTTAATATAAATGCCTATTTTTTAAAGTCTTCGTCATAGCTTTTTGTAAACTAATGTGAACAAATTTTACGGAGAATATTTCTCTGAAATACCTTTTTAAATTATATTTCTCCCTCCTTTTTTTGTACAAAGTACTTTCATTAAAATCACAACATATCTTACTCGTTTCATAGTAAGCGTTATTTTGTTCCTATTTATGTATTAATGCCTTCTCCTTTTTTGGAGGTATTTTTCTGAATATTGTAAATCTAGAGTTTTTTTTTTTTAATTTTATTTATCAGCTGCTGTTCTTGTATGTTATGTGAGTTTTTTTTTTCTGGAAGTAGTATTTTGATATTTAAAATTAGTTTACCACATATTCACCTTTGAGAGTTTTATTTTTCCCTAACATTTGTTATATTTTTGATTTGGGTTTTATTAAGGCTTAAGGAATTTCTGAGAAATTTTAGTTAATAATATTTATTTGTATTTATAAATGTTGGAATTTTTTGGCAGATTGACGTTCTTTTGGAATTACGTTCTTTGTTTTGATTCAATAAATTTTGGGTTATTTGGTTTGATCTCTAAAATTATATAGCACTTTAGCATTTTTTACTGTGAACCAGAGTTTAATTAAGCTTTGTTTTTCTATAAAATTAAAAAGCTATTAAAATAATCATTTAAGAAAGATTATAAAAATATGTTCTATGGTTTTACTACTCCTTTCATACAATATCGCACTTCAAAAGTAGGTGGATAGCTTATCATTAGCAATTTTTAGATTAGATGTTTTAAAGCTAAATATTATTGTTTTTTATAATAAGAAATTATCATTTAATACAAATTAATATGTTATACTTCAATCAAAACTGTAGTAAAAGAAGTTACTTTTATCATTTTTATAGTAGTTTTAAAGTATGCATTAGAATAATCTGTTTTAATTTATTGATATGACTGTGTGCAGACTTTGAAAAGGTTTATTATGATCAAAAAAGGTGTTTGATTTTATGTTTCAAATAATATTATTGGTCCTAAATTTAATCTATTTTATTGTAAAATGTAACACATTAGGTTAATATATTTAGATCACGCTTTGTCACACTTACCTTCAATTTTCAGGTTGCACTTTATTTTGAGTTGATTAACACTCAACTCTTAAAAATTTATTAATACTTCATAAGTTACCATTTACAGAATGAAACAACCTCGCTCTTCAGAATGAAATTGCCTCTCTCGCTATTTATGTTGAAAAGGTGTCTTAAGTTTTAGCAAATATTAATATGTTGGAATACCAATTTTGTATTCTTCAACACTGTCTGCAGTTTCTTGAAAGGTTTTGTATATAATAATATGTGTTAAAATATTGATTTTTTTCCCCTTAAGGCTACAGTGGACGTTCAAAAAAAATTTTTTTAGTTTTTATGCTACACTANATATTCGCTTTTTAACCCTTAAATGAAACAAGTTGCTAAATATGTCCCAAAAAAAAAACCGAAATTTTTATCAATTTTTGGCAATATAAAGGTCCACTGTAGCCTTAANAGTTTCTTGAAAGGTTTTGTATATAATAATATGTGTTAAAATATTGATTTTTTTTCCCTTAACTAAAACGAAGTGCTTAATTTATTTATTTATTTATTCCACTTGCGTTGTAAGCTGTAGTTTCAATAAGCTTACATACTGTTTATATTATAAATTGTCTTTAATGTGTATTTTTCGACAGTAAATTCTTCCACTCTCTGAAAGTGCCAATTTTCAGATTTAAAAGGTTATTGTTTTAGGAATTCAATTTCAACTCTAGTGAAGTTTAATTTATTGTCCTTATGAAGTTATAAATGCTGAAGAAAATTAAGTTTTCTGCTCAAGTGCAATGACTGCTTCATGTCCTAAATGAATTTATTTGAAAAAAAGTATTTTAATATTTGTATGTATCTACTTAGTTTATATGCAAGTTTTTTGTAGATTTACTTTCATCACGTTAATTCGAATTTTGATGTGCTCAATTACAGTGTTTGAATATGAGTTGTGTATTATTTTAACGATATTACTCTTTCATGAAACTTTGTTTTTTCATTATTTCTATTTAAATTTTTTATCTGAGCATTAACTTGGTTATCATTGCTAAAAGTTACTATGTTTTTAAATAATAATTCAAAAAAGTAAAACATAATTCATGAGTTCTTCAATTGAGATTTGCATTGTAACTATTATATCAAGACTGGTTACATAGTCATCTGTAATGGAGTGTAATTTGAAATTATTTCAATCCCTAGATGTTAGGAGCTTACATTTTTTCTTTCTAATACTGCCTACTTAACTTGAACAGTTTATTGCACTCAAGTGCTGTTAATTTCTACAAGCATTAATTTTTAAATCTGAATATATACAACTCTTTTAACCAATAAACCGATTACCTCTTTATTTTGTCCTCTTGGCGAATTTATGCAAATGAATTTTGTATTAGTGTCATCATTCGAGAGCTAGTGTTGGTATGTCACTGTTGGTGACCTAGTACATCTTGTGAGGCTGATTCCTAATTGGAGGAATAGTAACAGGATAATGATCTAAGCCATACTGCTGGTATAGTAAAGGTTTGGTTTTCGGAATGCAAGAGAAAAACTTCACTTTGTTATGTTGGCTCCCACAATCTCCAGATATCAATCCTATTAAGTATTTGTGGGAAGAATGTAAAAGAATTATCTTCTATCAACTACAACTTCAATCTCACTTTATTCAAAATGGCTACAAACATGCCTCAAACCCCCAGTCAAAATATTGTTCATTCACTTCCAAGTTGAATCAAAACTTTTTGTAGGAAAAAATTGAACAAGCAGGATATTTAAATTTTTTTTTTTTTCATTTGCAGCTCAGTTATGCAAGTTACTATATGTTGAACTACTACGTGTTACTATATGCTGAATGGACAAATCCATATCATTTTTATAAAAATCCATTCGTTTTTATGTATGCAACAATATGTTGGCATAAATGTCATTCTTGGTGAAAAAAATTGTGACTTCTTGCATCGCGCCATGACAACGTATCACATCACGCCTTTAAGTCATTCTGGTGTTTGTAAAATAAACCTATTTTTTGTCATTGACGAAAACTTGCCATTTTTTACCTTATAATGTGTTATTATATATTTTTTTCTTTGCATAAAATAAGTTCTGCGGTACTATAATTTAGCTCATTTAATTATGTTACTATTAGAATTTTTTTTTATAAAAATAATTTATGGTTTTGTGATTGAATAATATATTGGTGTATTTTGTTTGAATGCTGCAATTCTCCCAAATGGTCCCCTTTCCCCTTCAAAGTCCGTTTTGTCCACTTTTTAATGTTTTGGTCCTCTTTTGAATCATTTAAAAATCAGTTTAAGAAAGTGTTTAGATTGCTATGCACATTGACTTATGACATCTAACTCTCTCCTCGATGTTCTCATTCAGGAATGTCAACAATGACTACACTTCATCACTTAAATTTTTTTTTTGTGTCTTTTCATTTATTTAATTTAATAAAGATAAGAACAAATATATAAATTTTCTGTAAATTCGCAGAATTCTGCTTTTTATCAAAAGATTCAATTAACAATTCTAATATTGCAGAAATTTGATAAGTTGAACTGAGGCACCATCCACAAAGTGTTAAAAAATAAAAAATGATTGTAATATCTTATGTATTCTACCAGATTTCTTTCTATAGTTGAAGATTCTTTAATAATACTTTGAAAGAAAAATTGTTTAATTAAATTTTCCTACTATATAATTTAGAAGGGAGTGTCAGGAATTACATACGTATTTACTATATTTTTAAAAGATTGTTCTGTGATAGGCAAATCTTTCATGATACAAATCTTATATGTTAAAGATTAGTTTGTTTCAAGAACATAAATTGATCTCTTGAATTCAAGAATTTGAATTGATCTCTCTTTTAAAATGATTTTAATAAAATTAACAATCCTACAATTTTAAAATCTTACATTGAGGGGTTATTCTGAAATTGATTTTTTTTAAATTAGAAATTAAACTAATTAAATTTTTTTAATATAAAAATATTTTAATATTCTTTAAATGTATTGTAATTTAACGTATTAAACAGAGCTTTAATTTTTGAAGGTTGGAAATATACTACTTTACTGGAATTTTATAGAATATATAACCATCCCTGAAAAATAACACACTCTGGGAGGGTATTTTTTTTTACACATCTGAGGATTTATATTAGGTGTTAAGTTGTACTTTTTCATGTAAAATTTATTTTTTCTGGCATATACTTTGCCAGAAAAAATAAATTTTGTGATNTTAAGATGAATAAAAATAATAAATTATTACGACAGTTCAATATTCTTTAAATGTATTGTAATTTAACGTATTAAACAGAGCTTTAATTTTGAAGGTTGGAAATATACTACTTTACTGGAATTTTATAGAATATATAACCATCCCTGAAAAATAACACACTCTGGGAGGGTATTTTTTTTACACATCTGAGGATTTATATTAGGTGTTAAGTTGTACTTTTTCATGTAAAATTTATTTTTTCTGGCATATACTTTGCCAGAAAAAATAAATTTTGTGATACACATATACTTTGTGACTATTGTTCCATTATGTTATTGTGGATTATGTATCAAGTAATATAAGCTTAAAATAGAATCTCTCAATGAGTTACTTTTTGTGATTCTCAATAATTTCCTTTCCCTCCATACTGTGAGCTGTAATTGGTGCTAATGATTGGTCACAAAAGCAATTTTTTATTCTTACTACTTATATTGATCCTATTTTTTTCGATTTAAAAATCCCACAAGGCCTTGTTCTGACAGGATTCTTTTTTTTCACACATAAAAAATAAATAAATAAACAGTATTTCTTTCAAGAACATGCAATGTAAATAAATTTTACTGGAAATAAATGTCATGTTTTTTTCACTATATAAGATTTTTTTTGTGTTTCGTATAATTTAAATAAAAACATCACATTCACACATTACATTATACATTTACACACACATTGAAATGTTTTTAGTCTTTTCCGAAAATTTTGTGTTATTGTAGCATTTACTAATAACATACAATAAAGGTCTATTATAACAGCACTTCACAATTCACAGACTTGTTATCAAGCGAACATCTCACTACTGGAAACTTCATACATGTTTAAAATTAGAATAGCAATGAAAATAGTTGGAGTTTTTATAGTTTTTTGACGTCATTGATCACACCGAATATTGAGTTAAATAATTAGTTGTCAAAAAGGAAAATTAGGGGACATAATAAATAAGTAACTAACAAAAGGCTCATCCATGTGATATGTGGATTCCTGAAAAGAGCGAAAGACCTGTTTTCTTTATTAACATAATGATTAAGATTCAAAGAAAAAAAATATGAAATGTTTGTTTATCGCTTTTCTGTATTGATATCAGATAAAAATAAAAGCGTTTTCCATTTTGCTCTCTTTTACACACTTTTGCTCATTTAAATAGCAGAAAAGGTATTTATTTTTCAAAAAAAATTAATAAAGTATTTCAGAATGTGGCTAAACAACCTAGCAACAATATTCGCTTTTTAACCCTTAAGTTTTCCCAGAAAGTGCAATCTAGACTTATAGCTTAGTTCCTTTTTTGTGAGGATTACAAAACATAACAGAATTAAATTTGATTGTTGTGCACTTCTTTCAAAACAATGCGAATTGCTGTACACATCTTTTAAACAAAAGTTGCAGTGGACCGTGTGTTGAGAATGCCAGAAGGTAAATTAGCACTCTACACATTTTGCTCTCGTCTCCTGATGACAGAAGGAAAAGAGGATGGCTAAGATTAACAAAGAAGAAACTTATACAAATGGATTTCTAGAGGGAGGTGAAGAAGTAGGCTAAATGCCTTGAACGCTTGAAGAGCCCAAGGACACTAATACGATGCAGAGAAATAATAAAACAATGAAGCGAATTTTGAACAAGTGGACAGGTATGAATAAAAAATCTCATAACCTTGTTTAACATTTGCTTGAAAAATTGAAATAGATGTAAAGTAGTTAATAATAATAAAAAAGTGTAATAGTAATAAATGTATAATAATAATCTAATGTGCCTTTCCTAACAATAAATCTATAAAAATATACTTGTTTTTAGTTTAAAACTGATGTAAATAATGTCTTAAATTTTTTCTCCAATTGACAGTTTACATTTTAAAATCATGGCGGATTTTTAAGAGTTTACTATACCATGTTTAACATAAATAAATAGGCTTTGGGCATGCTTAAGAAAATACTATATACATAATTTATTTGATAAAATTAACAAGCTCAGTCATTTGACTGTCTGTCATAGTTCAGTGCTAGTTTTCTGCCTGTTCGTTGTGTTTAGAGAGTTTATTTTCTTCATTTTGTGGCAACTATCTTCAGACTTCATCTGAAAGAAATATATATAAAAAAAATTAGAATCACTTTCTAATAGATTAATCATCAGAGTGAAGCGAAAAAACGTAACACATCACCAAAAAAAAAATTCTTTTTTTTTCTAAATTTATTTATTAGACTTCTCATTCATTTTAAAGTTTCTTTATTATTGAATAAAATTTTCAAAAACATTTGTACCTCTTTAAAATAGAAATGTGCAAAATGACTTACAATTTCACTTTAGTATTTTCCATTTATTTATTTTTTAAAATTTTTATTCCAGAGTTTTCTTGATGTAATTACATCTTTTAAATTTATATTTCAAGTTATTAATTTATATTTTAACTTTAATTCGTTGTTTCTTTTTAAGAAAAAAAAAACATATTGATATAATTTTTTTAGAATGCTTCTATAACATATTTTTTAAAAAAATTATTGATTATTGATTACATTTATAATCGAATTTTGTAAGAATTGGAACTAATTAGAATTAGTGAAAATTGGAACTTTTGGCTTTAAGTTGTAAAGGTAAAATATTTAAAAAAAGATTTAGAAAATCGATTTTATTCTTACCTGTGAATGAATCATTTCCTTTTGAAGTTTATTTTGATTTATTTCTTTTGAATGCCTTTTTGATTTATTGTTGCTCAATCTAAATAGATACAAAACAGGATTAGTGACAGTTTATTCCATTATGTAGGGTATCCCATATTGAATTGATATATACTCAATAGACATTAAAGACGCGATGGCTCCCTTGTTAAAAGGGCTCTGGACATCAAAGTGAAAGGCTGGGTTTCGATCTACAATCGCGGTTGGAAGTCGACCCAGCTTCAGATCAGCCAGTTTGTTAAATTAAATTTTATAATTAAAATTCAACCTTATTAATTAAAAACTTCGAATTATCCAGTATTATTTTATTATTACTTGGCGCACATCCATATTTGGGCAATCCAAGGTAAGTAACAAGTAAAACGAGATTCTGTACTTCAGTAAGAATGTGACATTAGTTTATTCCATTCATCCTCTATTTACGCTTCTATTATCATATTTTGTAATGTGGCAAACTTGTTAAATCATTTTTGAAAAATGCCTGTAAGTGTATGTACATTTGAAATTCGCTACTCTTGTTACATATTACATTTTAAGTTTTATTCTGTATTTTCTTAAATTTTTATTTTCTATTTTTGCCTGATTGTTTTATTTTACAATTTTTGCTTAACTTCTATTTTCGTTTCAATTTTTTTTGGTGCTCCTCACACTAATGTATCGATATGCTTTGCTTTGGCTATAGTAATACAATAATTAAAAGCACTATTTTTTTCGGATATAAAGGTGTGAGCTGATGACGAAATTATATATTTTCTTTAATTTATTTTATTTTCTAATTTTTTTTTTTAAATATTAATATATACTCCGAAGAGCCATTACATTATGACCACCCTCCATCTATAACAATGGGCTCGCCCAGGTTTTCATGGTTTCTCGCCCAGGAACAATGTTTTCATGGGGCACATTAGGACCCATAATCCTCATAGAACAATCCCTGACGTCTGTAAGCTACTTGAACATAGTTGCAGACCAGGTTCACCCATTCATGGCAACAGTTTTTCCTGCGGGGGATGGTGTTTACCAACAGGATAATGCACCATGTCATAAAGGTCGAATCGTCGAGGAACATTCCAGTGACTTTCAAGTCATGTCTTGGCCCCCAAATTCACCTGACCTTAATCCAATAGAGCATTTGTGGTCCTACTTGGAAAACCAATTTCGTGATTCCACGCTACCCCCTCGCAAGGTGAGGGAATTGCAGGACCAGTTGGTGAGCGCTTGGTACCAGATACCTCAGACTACCTATCAGCACCTTATGGAATCAATGCCGCGGCTGATGCTAGCAGTTTTGAGGGCTAAAGGTGTCCTACATGTTATTAGCAGGGTGGTCATAATGTAATGACTCTTCGGTGTATATAGTGCCATGCTACTAGTGTCACACCTAGAAGAATAAATGCATGGTAATACCCCATGATGCTGATGCCATGTATGTTAGTGCTTCAACTTTAATTTCATTTTAATATTTTCTCTTTTTGTCTTAAATGCTTCTCTTTTAGAGCGTTTTCTTAAAATTCTCTCAAGTCAGATTGAGAACCGAGAGTGATTTCTATAGTGACAAAGTACTGACTAGAAAATATGCACAATTTAAACCTGGTTGTTTTCCATTAAAACAAACCAATTTCTTTCTTTGATGCTTAACAAAAACGAAATGGTGAAATGAATGTCACTTTTCTGTCAACCAATGATGAAGTACTGAAATAAAATTCATTGCGCAACTTCTTTTATTTTTCCTACTAATACTTACGGTACTATATTTAAATGGCTAACGCCATTGTTGGTTTCAGGACATTTGCCATTGGGAGATAAATTGACACTGTAAGGCGGAGGAGGGTCTTCATCACAGGTAGATCTTCGGCTTAGTGTGTCCAAAGAAGTCCTATAAACAAAGAATCGGGCATGAGAGTTTTCCAGGTGCAATTAATTATAAGCGTTCTTCGTCATAACGAAAAGTGCTTTAATATATATATATATTTTTTAAAACTTACCTGGATGATACTTTTGAGACTTTGTAACGAGGTTTCCCTGATGTCGGTGAGTAGCGAATTTTGAATCCATTAGTTTCTGTCCTGAAAGAGTCAATCAATGTGATTTGACATCTAGCAGTATTAACGTTCAGAAATTTAAAGCTGGTCAATCTACTATAATCAATTAATTGGTCAATCTAGTTTTTCGCTTATTACTAGATAATAGAATATTAACTGTTTTGTTTAGTTACAGCCATTTTAAAAATGCCCGGTTATTTTAAAATAAAACCGGCTTTCATATTTTACCAGCAATATAATTATTTTGAGTTTACAGATAATAATAATTTAGTAAGGCTTAAAAATATCTTAAAACTTATACCCATCTATACTTACTCGACTTTGGTATATTTAATATCTCTCCTCTCTTCTTCCGTTAAATTAACTGGATCCACCAAACGATACCTTAAAAAAATGAAACAGTTATTATTTTACGCAGTGAAAGTGGAGTTAAAATACAGTAAACCGATACTAATTTTTAAAATATGTTTCTAAGAGTCTTGCACATATTTAAAGCAAACTATTGCTTGATCTAAAGAAGAACAGGGAAGAGGCCTCGAGTTTGAAAACGAATGTTAACTTGAAATGAAAAAGCCAGCTCTTGATTATGCTGTCATCTAGCGACAATTGTAAAACATAAAAATTTCTTGTTTTTCTTTTAAATGGTATCGTAAATAAAATTTAGTTTTTATGCAACTAACTCGTCATTAAAATAGTTTTACCCTTATTATTTATTTATTTTTTGAGAAAGATAGAGAAAAAAAGTTGAAGAATATTAAAAGAAACAAGATATTTTTTTTTCTTTCAAAATGGAAAAAGAAGAATAAATCCTTTATGAAAAAAAGAAGTTACTCTCTGTTAAACCATAACTGCCTAAAAAATTTGTCGAATAATCGTAACTATATTTTTTCCCGAAGTTATTATAAATGCATGCTAAGGAAAAGACTTTTTTATGTTAATATGATTTTATTCTTGTATAAAAATAAATTATTTCCAATTAGTAAAGCAAGTTTAACTTACGGTTCTTTTTGTAAGCAGTTCCTACTTCATTCTTACTTTCATGTATGCCTCGCAGTTTTGTCTGAATGGTCTTGACAAAAATTTGATACTATTTTCTAGTTTAAATGTTATCATGTGCTGATTTTTATTGTTTAATATTGGCAATAAATATATAAAAGGCAGTGATTAGAAAATACTTGTCATGGAAATACTTGTCTCCTGCACATTGAAGGACATTAATTTTTTATTCAAAAGACATAAACAATCCCATTTACTTTAAACCTAAATGAAAAAAATGTATGGAATATAATTGAGTATTTAAGGGTTGTACTTACTGTAAATGTTTTTTTACTTCTTGAGAAATGATTGGATTAGATTCGGGTGATCTGGACCTTGATCTACTGTGCCTGTTCGAAAATAAATAAATAAAAATAAATACTTTTAAGATTTGTTTCGAGTTGTAAGTGCTACTACATAAGGGTTGTTACTTTATTTGGTTAACATTTATCGACACTTCATTGAGTTTCAAACAACAACAAAAAGTTTTTACCTTGTTTTTTTTTTTCATTTTCTCTGGATAAATTATGAGAAAATGGGCTCAACTTACACCACAATGCTTGTAAAGTAGCTGATTTATGAAAAAAAATTTATTTTTTAAATCGCTGTGCATGCAAACAAACAACATATTGTTAACTTCACACCGTATATAAATATATTTTGTAAACTGAGCTAGCATATTGATGGTTTAAAAAAATTTTTAAAAAGAAAAAAATAGTCTGTAAAAAACTGCCCTAAAATGAAAAATAAGGCACTTAAAAGTTTTCAAAATCACGTTTTACATTGACTTTCTTTTTTTTATAAAAAGATAAGATCAGAATTGCATTGTATTCTCAAAACCTTTTTAATGTTCTTAAATTTGTAAGATTGCCTGTTTGAAAAACAGACGAATTCTTATATATTGAAAAACCGTTCAACAGTAACACTTGTTATCGTAGGAGATTTAAAATAAAAAAGATTCAATGCAAAATTTAAAATAAAAGAAAAAATAATAAGCAAAATGCATTCAAAATGAAAAATCTTTAAATAGTTTAAAAAAAATATTAATAAAAAATTGTGATTATATTATTGCAATCGCTGTTTACCCATTTGCCACATGTTTCTTTTTCTTCCTTAATAGACTTTCATAAACAAAAATTGTCATTGGTTGCAAAAACTGCATCAATTGATTTGTCCTCTTATCGTTGTTCTTTGGTTTTCAATTTCGGTCAATATACATTTCTTAAGACGTTATAAAAATCGTATCCTTCTTCAGTAGTTATATTTATATCATATAAAATCACCGCTTAGATAGTAATTATAAATAAGTAAATCACAAAATGGATATTAAAATAATTAAAATTAACATTATATAAAAACATTAAAAATATTGACTGGGGAAATTAAAAGAAAAAACTCAGAGGTGAAAACAATCAACTCCAAGAAATTCAAAAATTATCTGCATAATGCTTATGTTAGCCTGATTTTTTATAACTTGTGCAATTCTAATTTTGAAATTATGGTTTTGAAGTTGATCTCAGTTGTTAAGTATTTTTGAGATTATGGTTCTGAAGTTGATGGAAGTTGTTCAGTTCATTTTAAAGTTGTCCCGCAGTGGACTGATCGTTAAGACACGGTTCCCAGCACATCACTGAAGTCAAGCATCACTGGCTGCTGTCAGTGTGCGGGTAGGTGACCACTTGGATCAGTCTGCGTAGGGACCGAGGGTGTGCGGTATTGGTCCTCGTTAAACTGTGCTACCGTAAAGTGCTCGACTTCGCGCGCAGGTCGTCGGGCTACCGAAGCGTGGGTGCCATCCCCTCCGCAGAGGATCAAAATTGTGATGGCATGTCTTCGGATCATCCTCCGGGATGTTTCCCAGACCGTCGCCAGTAGCCCATTGTGCAGCTCTAGTGCGACGTAAATTAACAACCACAACAATCATTTTAAAGTTTTAACTTAAGACAATATTTAAAGAATTCTAAAAAATTTATCAAACAAATATTCAGGGGTTTCTCTAGTCTTAATATTGAATTAAATATTATCAAATAGAATTTATGGGTTCCTGAAAACATGGGAGTATGGGCATCTTAAACCTTATGATAAATCAGGTACTGCTTCCACTTTCGGATTGTCAAACGCAGAGCTATAAGCGATAAGCACAGAGCTCGCCGCACTTTACCATACTCAATACTCGCGGATTGTCACTTAGTATCTCCATTCATTTCGGAATTTAAAAACTCTTCCAATGAAGCTTTTCAATTGGTTCAGTTTTCAAGGAGGTTATTCTATGTGTGCCGAAATTTTTTTCTTGATTTGATGAATTGGTTAAAATTTACTAACACCTCTTCATTATTGTTAAGTTTAGACAATATTTTATAAATAAAATAGTTAAACAACATTTGTTTTTTTTTCGTTTCAATTATATTTAAATATTAATAATAATAAAGGCATACTTTCGATGTTTTTTTCTTCGTTGTGCTGGAGCTTCAGATTCCGTATCTATCCCTGAGTTTAAGTACCTGAAATACAATAAATAAGCTTTTAACTCGTAGCAAACCCATAATTTTAAACACAATTTACCAGTTCTCGCAAAGAGTTAACTGTGCTATAGAACAGAGGAAAATCTTAAACGTTTTAGAAATTATTGTAAAACTTTTTATAAAAATCGCAAATTTTGGAGAGATTTTACCAACTATATAAAATCAAAGAACTGAAATTTAGAAAATTTTTATGAGCTCAGACAATAGGTTAACTATTCCAATATCAAAAAGAAGAGCCGCGGTGGCTCAGGTGTGCTCGCGTGCGCTCGCCTTCCAATGAGGTGACCGGATTCGAATCCCAACGATGACTGGTCGAAACGAATTTTGCACCCGGCTCGCACCTACTACAATGCTGACATGAAATATCGTCAGTGATAGATGGATCATAGGTTAGAGCTCCCTTTGCCGTCAGGCTAACCGTGGGAGGTTTTCGAGGTTTTTCTACCCATGTAATGCGAATGCGGATTGGTTCCATCAAAAAGTCTTCCACGAAGACAAATTTCTCCCAATACTTGATTCAGGAATTTCCTTTTCTTTTGGATTAGGTTCGAAATTACAAGGCTACGGAGTTGAACATTGGTAATCGTAAATTCAAAATTGGGTCGGCTGTTCAACGACAGTTATAAAAAATATATGAGCGCTTTTTTTCCCCCGCAAAATTGTAGCTTTTCTTCCTATTGACATTCCGTGCCCTTTTCTTAATTGTCATTGAAGACGTTGGCCAAAAAAGGAAAAAAAGTCCGAAACCGAAGACTCCCCATGTAGTAAATGGTGACTGGTACACGTTAAATCTGTCGGGTAACAAAGTTTCCCAAGTTCCCATAAGAAATCAATATCTCTGATGGGGTGCTGAATTGGAGATTGATCGTTTTCTGGTTCAGGTCAAACTTACTATCTGAGGATGAATGAATGCGAGGATGAAGGAATGAATGAGTTCGCCCTTTAAAATGAGCTTGGTTTCAATAAGCAGACTTGCTGGTATTGGCAGTGGCATTAGAAACAACAACAGGGCAAAGCGTAATCTAACAGTCACAAATAACTGTTACAAACTCACGACGACAATTATAAAAATAGCATATTATTCGCTAAAAAACAATATTTCATGTGGTCTTCGAAAAATAATATTAATGAAATCGTATCGTATAATTGTATTCAGCACAGTTGTACAAAGCCTTCCTGTTTTAAAAACACACAATAATGAAAATATTTATCAAATAACTATTTAGTAGGTTTTACTCTTTCTTTTTTTCTTAAAAAAATTTCTTTTGCAGTACTTAGAAACATAACATGGTAATCAAATCATTTTTTGGAATGGAATTATTTGTGGTACATCATGATGGTCGAAATCATTTTAAAAGGAAGCTATACCGAAGAAAGAAACGTTTCATTCTGTTTTATTTCTATTGGTAATTTCAAATTTGAAGTATAGAAAAAAGCAAGTTCTAGTAAAACACTCAGTAAACCGTGAAGTTTCAAATACTCAAAACAAAAAAGTATTTCCAAAATATCAAAATACAAACAAGTTATTACAGGGCAATTTCACCACTGCGTAATCTTGCCATAATATGGTTGCATTTTGATATTTTGAAGGGGGGGAAAAAAAATTCCCATTTGAAACTTCGGGGTTTACTCTATGTTAACCTAAACTCATTTTTTCTTTAATTTTCAATTTATTTATGGAAGTGAAAAAGAATTTGCCATGAAATGTTTCTCCCGTGGTATAGTTTCCACTTAAGTAGTAAAAGGTTCTAAATAATTTTAGTTTGAATAAACTGACTTACGTTGACTTAAAAGTTTATACGTTGACAATAGAAAATCAAGGTTATACCTTGCCTTTATATCTGGCCTACAAGGTTCCAATGTTCGAAATTTATAAATAACATTAATTTAAATTGCTTAAGTCACAACATTCTCACTTCAATTTGCAAACCAAAAGACAGTTTTGTTAAAATTACTTGTCCAGAGCCGTGGTAGCTCAGGGGATAGAGCGTTCGCCTTCCAATGAGGGGAACCGGGTTCGAATCCCAGCGATGGTTTGTCGAAACGATTCCTTTCCCGGGTCGCACCGACCACAGTGCTGACGTAAAAATATCCTCAGTGGCAGACGGATCGTAGGTTAAAGCCGTCGGGATAACCGTGCTAGGTTTTCGTGATTTTCCTCTTCATGTGACGCAAATAGCGGGTTAGTTCCCTCAATAATTCCTCCATAAAGGCAAATTTCTCCCAATACTTGATTCTAGAGTTCTCTTGTCTTCTGGATTGGGTTCAAAATTACAAGGTTACGGAGCTGAACAGTAGTAGTCGTAAACCCAAAACTGGGTCGGCTGTTCAACGACCGTTATAAAATGAAAAATAAAATAAAATTACTTGTTCAGTGTTTGTTTTCTAATGTACTTGGAACCTTCGTTCACTCCAAAATCGCTCTAAATATGTCATTGAATGACTTTATTCATTGAAATTGTCAAGTTAATTTTTTGTTAAATATATAAAGCAGGCACTGAATTTGCCTTTGAAGATGCCGGAAGTGTTACTCTATAACGCTACCCCGGTGGGCACTTATGCACTTCAGTCACGGAGCGAACAACATTACCCGTTCATAGGGTGGGCCACCACACAGAGACTAAAATTCATGTCCTGAGCGAGATTCGAACCCGCATCCATTTGCTTCGCAGTCAGGCACGCTAACCGCTCGACCACCTAGTCGGCATTTAAAGAAGTTGCAAAATAATTCAATGTGGTATAGTTAAATAAAATATTTATCCTAAAAATCTCAATTTTTACAAAATTGTGTAACTTAGAACCTTCTTACTCTTACCTCTTCTATCGTTTCGTTTCGTTCTGTTGTAAGGACGTCATAAAATTAAACAAATCAGCTCATCGGCATCATTCCTTGAACGAATTTGGAAGGGTGTTTTCTTAAATCAGATCTGGAATTTCTTATGAGTCGATTAAAGTAAAAAAAGTAGCGAGAGACAAAAAGGATATTTCCATGGTAACTACATGAGCTTCTGTGAAGAGTTTTGAAAATTTTGATTTAAAGAATGAAGTTTGGAACTATTTTTCTTCACAGATAACTCTACATCAGGCTCGTATGAAAATGCGATTATCGTTTTAACAGTAGTATTCAATTAGACATGTATATGACTATGTAATTTATTCTACGGTTATTATGATCTGTGGTTAATGACTCTGTAGCTCTGCGGTTAATGACATAACAGGTTTCAAACGTATCATTTTTCTGACTAGCTAGAATGATCAAATTTCAACTGAAGGTATGTCTACTTACACAAATTACAATTTTCGTTCAAGTTTTCACCAATCGAAATTTCCGACTTGAACAAATTAATAGACAATAGAAATAATAAAAAAATTAAAAAAGTGCGATTGATGGAAAAATAGTTTTATTTTTCTCAGACCTAAATTAAAATAAGTAGAGATCGCAATAAGTTTATATAACCTCTGAAAACTTCTCCACGTCTTTTGAAAATTATGAGCTCTACGTTTTTTTGTTTAAAGCCTGCACAAAAATAATATTTTTAGTATATCTGAATAAGTAGGTTTAATTCTTTTTCATTATTTAAATCCAAAATATGCAAAAGTTCTTTTAATAATAACTAGTGGACTGCGCCCCCTGCTCGCTAACGCTCACCAACCCCCGAAAATTGCAACGCAATCTTATATGGTTTGCTTCGCAAATGCACAAAATTCTAAGAATTCAAAACAATCATTCAAATCAATATAACAACCTTTTTTTTAAAAAAAAATTACATCTTTTTAGTAAGTACTAAGTCATTAAAATAAATTTGAATTCAAATAAATGGCATGTAATTCGTTAAACCTATTAGAAATGTGCTATAGTATAAAATCTTAAGATGAAATTTCTAAAACTGATATCTCTTTAAAAAGGTTAAAATTTTGGCGTGAAAAAAGCGCCTTCGACAAAATACTAAAATAGAGATCTATCGACAAAGACTACTCACTTCTGCCTAGCTTATGCTCTCTCTGGTTATTTCAGTTTCCTTTCTTAAAAGCGCTATATTTTGAGTCATCTCAGCTAGATTTGGCATGCGACATTTTTAGCTGCAATCATTGGTCGATTTTCAAGCGTTGCCATTCGGGGAGTTGTAATGAGGCTTTTTTTTTGTCGCCGTGTAAGAGAAATATATATATCGATAGTTAAAATAAAACAATCAAGTAAGGATAGTTAATTTATTCTTACCCGCTTTTCCTATTTGAAAGATCTCTAACAACAGCATTTTGTAACCTAGATAAAGAAAACATGTTATCAATATATATTGTTATCATTATATAACAATAACATTTACATGAAGACTACTTCACCTTTCTTTTTCACGCTGTTGTTTTTGAACTTGTTTCCATTGGGATTCAGAATTTACTAAATGATAACTATTCTCTCTTCTTCTACTACTGCTGCAAAAGATCACATCATTCAGAACATCATCGATACAAAAATTTCGTCAGGGTTTCCCAAATTGTTTAGACAAAGGACACTTTTCGCGGGATAATATTCAGGAAGGATCCCAGTGTATTATCCCATTATGCGATCTACCTTACATAACTGTGTAGTTACTTTGCGGATCGATAGGTGGGGCCACTAAAATTTACAGTCTGTATCTTTTTTTCATAGAATATACTGTTTGAAAAAACTACTTTAATTTTATACTTATTAATTGTGTATTGACAAGTGAGCTAATGAGACTAATTGTTTTAATATTATTTATTAAAGTAACTAAAAGAGACGTAGTTATACATCTTTAAGTAATAAACGACAACTAACAATTCAATTTTATGTTTATCAACATGTTGCATCTATTTTGAATATATTGTATGCTTGTTTACTGTTAACAAGTAAACAATTTTAACAATTATTTAAAAAAAATTTACATTTATAAAGTTTATTATAAGTAAATATTTTCATTTTTCGCTAATACAAAAAGTAAATTCGAGAAAATAATAATTAATTTGTTATTAATTTGATACATACACTTGCTATAAGTTTATAATTTATATTGAATTTTAAAACAATATGATAGTATTCTAACAAGCAGAATCGGTAGCTACGAATGTGGGCTTATAGCAAGAAAATCCTCTATTGACCTTCTGTTTAAGTCAGATTTTTAAAAAATCAATTTGTATTGACACTCATCACTCATTTATTTTTTTCTAAATCAGCGTTTGATAGTATGAATAGAAAGCATTTATTGGAAAAGCCTTCTACTCTTCAGAGGTAGCTTCAAAATGTATGGGATTGCAGTAAATGACACCAAAACCAAGCCTATGCCAGTACAGGAAAACACCTTATGGATTCACCTTAATCATTTAAAAATTGGCCATCATTAGTATTAAACTTTACCTGGTATTAAATACCTTGGATCTGATGACATTATTGTTGACATACCCTGATGACATTTTGGATCTGCTCTACACGAACTAAACTCAGTCCCGGTTGTTGGGCTGCCCGCCTGTTCGCTTCCTGTTTTTTTGACAACGTTTTGTTGTTTTATCTATCTCATTCGCTTTTTAATTCTGTTTTAATCTATTTATTCACTACATTGTGCTTTTAATTGGCTTATTTACATTGCCTTTCCTTGCTTTACAAATTTTAGCGTCGCCTTTTAATTGTATTTGATAATTGTTTGTTTTACCACTTTACATCTACACCTCCTTTTGTTTTACATTTGAGATTTTCTTGGCTCATTACGCCTTGTTCTTCTGTCTTACCTGTTGACAATTTGTCATGGACTGTATTGGTTCTTTGACCTATATTAACTTGGGACCTCCGTTTACCTGTGACCTTTTAATGTTTTCTTATGTTCACTTCAGGTTCACGTTTTTTTTAATGGTTCACTTTATGTTTTACTGTTCTTGAATACATCAACAGTTTATACTTTGTGTCCTTTATANTCAAAACTAGCTATCATATTTTCATCTCCACGGGTCATTGTCCAGGTCTCACATGACCTTGGATCTTTGGTTAACACCAAAACAACATCACCTCTGAAAACCCAACTCTTATCATATAGGGCAAAAAAAAGTTTTTTGGGCGTAGCACCTTATTGAGTGCTCACTTTTTCATTAAAAAGTAGTTCTCTTTTACTCTCATTAAAAGAGTTCAGTTTCTAAACTCTCATTAGGCCAGTCCTAATGTATGGTTCAAAAACCTAGTTATGTATGGGAGGTGCAAAAGAAAATGGTCTCTATTGAAGACGATTTAACGCAGAAGTCTATCGAATTTTTAAGGAGCCCGAAATCATCAAGGCTATTAAAACTGAAAGAATGAACTATGTTGCTCACACAGCCAGAATGAATGAGGAACCCAACAATGATGAGTACAGAAAATTTTTACGCCAAAGCCCTACACTTAATGCAAAAGAAGAAACCCAAAACAACGAATTTGTGGAATCAGATTTTAAAGTAATTTGTATAAAAGACTGGCAGTTCAGGTAAAAAAATAAGTTGTTCTGGGGTCCTTGAGAAATATTCAGCTAAATAGCTTGGCACACCACGGCTGCCATGCCAAATATGATGATGAATAATCAGAATGAACTGTTGTTAATTTTCAAATTGTGGCAAAAGTTTAAAAAAAAAGACTATCAATTGATAGGGATTGAGATTTATTTTATTGGCAATGCTTGCAAAGAATGCCCCATCGTACTGTTGATTACGTAATTACAGAGTCTTAACTTCCATGATTCAAAGTCCAACATCGGACTGTTGACAGGAATGTTTTTTTTTTTTTTACGATCGCTATAAAATTGTTTTTGATCTTATTTTAAAATTCAATGAATGGTTCAGACAGAACAATTTGATCTGCGCGGGATCATCTTAAACCAGTACAGAAATTACCATAGCTCAAAATAATATTTATATATTTTTTTTATTTCCAATGTCCACTGTATTAACATTCGTTAATTTAGGCATTTACAGGGCAGATTTGTTGGCCACTTTTTCAGTAGCACCACATTAGGTGGGCCAACGTTGCTCCCACAGTAAGAACAGATAGAGAATTAGAAAATATCCATACCTTGCTCGGAGTTAGAACCCAGAACCTTTCCAATGTAAGGCCAGTTTCCTGACCCCTACACAGTTCGGTCGGCCTCAAAATGATAATAATAATAAATCGTACATAACTGATCCAGATTTGAATCCCAGCTATCTGATAGCGTTTGTATAAAACAATCCCGTTAGAAACAAAGCTGTTTCGAGACTTAGTACGTTTAAATGTAGTTAGGCTAAATCCAATAGTAAGTATTTCAAAACAAAGTGCAATTTTTTTGTTGTTGACAGTATGTGATAAAATTGTTTGATTATTTAACGAAGACAATATTACCTGTGCTTTCTCCTCCTGCTCCTGTGATGGGAATCAGAATCGCTCCCACTCTCTCGACTATGATGCCTGGAAAAAAATTAATTCAGTTGATATTTTTTTAAAAATCTTTTATTTTAAACTACTTAAATATCCGTACTTCATACCAAGCAAAGAAAAAATAATACTGGGGAACAAATTTTTGCGTTGTTTGTTCCATGAGATTTTTTTTAACATATCTTAGATACTTTCGTATTGCTGATTTTAAATATGCCTCCAAACTACAGATTTTTTAAAAAATGACATTTTTTTGTCGATATGTACATGTTTAATAAAGCTATATATTGAAAAGGGTTGCATAAATGTTGCGACAAACTTCTAGGGGAGTTAGGGCACAATATCAGGATTAAAATTGCATAACTCAAGACCGAAAATGTTGTCAAAAGCAGCTAGGGGCACTTCCCCATTATGAACTATTTCTTCGTGTGCTTCTGAACCGGTCATAATAGCTAAGCGCTCCTAGTCGCGTACGACGACATCTCCGATCAAGGGTTCCTGTTCAATTTTAATCCTGATGTTGTGACCTTAATTCCCTTGATTCAATATTTGTGCGACCCCTTTCAATATATAACGTTTTTAAATTGTATATTTAGACAAAATGTAGACTGAAAACGTCATTTAAAAAATGCAGCTTTTGGAGAAAAAATTATTTTAGATATGAAATCCCTGTACCCGAATCAGGCGAAATCAAGTATTTTTTAATGCAACAATGTTCCCCAATGTATTCAATGATTCGGTTGTAATTAAGCTACGCAAGTATGCACAAAACTGAAAAACACACGTACACGGCACAATTTAAAATAATAAATTTTTTTTTAATTATTATTATTGATATTTCACGATGATTTCTCATTATTGGATTAAGCATACAACATGTTTAACTCCTCGAAAAAAAGAGAAAATATACTCCAGTATCATTCGATACTGACAACAGCGCTTTTGATATGGGTTATACTAAGGCCAACTCATCATCTATTTTTGGAGCGAAGAGCTAACATGAGCACAATACTAACATAACGCTAACTTGCGAACTTGTTTGCTCCAATATTGCTTGATAGGTCAGCTCTGATAGTATAGGAGCCTTAGGCTCTGATAGTAAGTCTAAAAAGTCGTAGTACTCTGATAGTAAGTCTAAAAATATTAAAAAAAATAACGGGCTAGCAAAAGCATGAATAAAATAAACTAAGCACATAAGGAGATAAACAATAAAATAAAAGCAGACGATAAAATTAGAAGATTTTTTATAGAACAACAGAGAGTTGCTGATTTTTTAGAGATTAGTTTTTGTTGTGGAATTTGAGTTTTCATATTTTCATATATTTGTTTTTTCTAGTTTGTTTTATAAGATTTAACTATCCCGCTACCGGTACTTTATATTTGTCGCTGTATTTGTTGCGGTGTGAAATAAATGTTTTTTTTTAACAAAACAAAGAACTGTTTCTTAATATAGCTTGATACGTTACAGGCAACACATTCAACATGTATCAGCATCAGGTAATTTTCCCATAATTTTTTATTCCTTAAGTACTTAATTTTAATAATTTTGCGAATTTCAATAATAATTTTTGTACCGTTTATTTAATTTAGATTTTTGGAAACACGTTTCATAAGCGTAACTAAAAAAAAAAAAATACAGATGGTTTCAGATACCTCAAAAAAATTTATTCTGCCACGTCAAACGGAGACGGGTTGGACAAAATAATAGAAACACTTCGATATTAAAACATTTTTTGATATTTCTCAAAAAACACTTAGAGAATCAATTTATAAATTTAGCAGTAATCGTCGGATTTCTCATACATATCAATGAGGTTTAAAGCTTTTCAAGCTTTAAGGGACCGACAATAAATTACAAATGGAAAAAATGTTTTTGAACAACCTAGGCCATAAAATGTAGCAATAAATTTGCAACTCATTACTATTATTTTGGTTATTATATTGAACAATTGCACAAAATTTCGTAAACCTAGCTTAAATATTTGTGGAGATAAGGACATTTTATATAAAGAAACTATTTTTTGTCTTACGTGCTTCTGCTGTAACTTTGAAAATATTCAATAAACTTAAACGAAACTTTTGTATCAATTTAAAATTGATTACAAAAGTATTGTTTTAAAATTTGAGACAAATTCGTTAAAAACTGCGCAAGATATGAGTACCGCAAGGTATGAGTTCCTTAATACTGCGCATGTGCGAAAAGAGTTCTTAATATTGTAATAAATCGCATTTGGCAATTAATAAAACAAGTACGATTTGAATATCTTAAAAATTTCCTAAGTAGATTTTTTGCTCTTTAAAAGAAAGTTCAAAATAATAAGTTTTTTTTTTCTTCACAAATTTTATTTTGGCAAAACAACATTTATATTAAAAAATGATAATATCCTTCTAATATTGGTCCGGACAACAAAGTTTGATGGTATAAGGAAAGAAAAGATGCGAAAGAAAGGATACTTTTATGGAGGATGATCCCCAACAATGCTGGTGTCATTTTTAATAAATCTTGTTTAATTGTATAAAAAGAAATGTGTGGGATTTAGTGTAAAACAACAGAAATAAGTGATCTCTATTAAGATTTTCTGTAAAAGGTCCTGCTTTTTAAGAATTATTGTAAAATCAACCCATAATTTTCTAAATCTAAAATTACCGGAGAATCGAGATCATTTCATCAGGGTTCTATTTTTGCAAATGTGTGAAAGTAAGGTTCTGGTTTGTTGGAAAGGGAAAAAAAATCCAAAAACCATAACTTTTACGGAGTTGCAGTTTAAAAATTATAAACCCATACCTTTATCGACTTCCTTTTTCAAAAGAAGAATTTTGTGCTTGGGGGTGCATTTTTAAATTTAAAAAAATAAATAAATGAAAAAATATTGGTAATTGTTTCCTAAGGAATTTTTTTTGTGAAGTATCTGTTATTAACGAGAAAACACAAGTTCTGTAACGGATTCAAATTCCTCCCAAAATGACCCCTTTAATGTCATTATATTATTACTTAATATTGTAAAACCTTGCCTACCTTGCTTTTCTGTGAGAAGTTCCGTTCTTTGAAGATCTGGAACCTCTTGATGATTTTGATATCTCACTTTCATTGTCTGAACTTCTTTTACTCCGGTGGTGACTGAAAGAAAATTGACATGTTGACAATTGACATATTGGCATGTCTTAAAGAATATAACCTTGAGAACTTTTCCCGGATTTCAGAATTCTCAGATTCTGCATGCGAACAGTTCCTTCTTCACACATTTTCATATATCCTTGCTGAGAAACCCTCCGATGAAAGTTATAGTTCCTACAATAATACACCCCACCATCTCAACACCAGGTGTACAAGGTGTCCCGCAGAGGAGTGACTGATTTGAAAATGAAAAGTATCGGAAACAAAGGGTAATAGAGGAACGAAACAAACGGTATGTCTATTGTTGAAGCTGTAAAATATTATACAACAAGGTGAATATAGTTACAAAAGTTTCGAACAGATGGCACTGCAAGCCAACGATGCCCAGATCTATTAATTCTAGCAGGGCTCGAAAAAACACAGAAATTTTACCCGTCCCCGAGGACGGCTTGTTCAACAATGCACCCGTCCTCCGTTGAAACTAACCCGTCGCTTTTAAATAAATAAAAATATAATTTTCTCCTATTTATTNAGTAACATAATTTCCATCACAGATCAGATTACAGTTCTACGACATTTGCGTTTTTTTCAAAAACTCAGTCAATAGCGCCATCCGCAATCTGTTAGCAACTTTTGTAACTAAATTGTAAAATTTCTGCATTAAATTTTAACAACTTTCACAATTTACCGTTTTGCATTTCTCTGTCTTTCGTTTGTTTTCGAGAATATGAAATCAGTCAGTCCCACACTGAACACCCTGTACTGTATGATGATGATGTGCTTTAATCATACAAAGATTTCGGTTCCGCAAAGTAATGCAACACATTTCAGTTACCGGAGATTGTGTACTTGATATTACGATCAGTAGTTTCCGCTGAAAATTTTTACAAGTCACTTACTCCCAGATATATCCACTTAACTTTAACAGGAGTGATACCTATACGGGATGTACCGTAATAACCACCATTAGTACTTAAATAGTGTACTTGTCAAAAATGGAGCAAAAATAAAATATACACATAAAGAATTGTACTAAGCCAGAAAAAAAAAATTCGTTATTGTAATCAAATGAATTGCAACTGAGGAATCTAGGCTCAAAGCATCAAAACTGGTTGAGAAGAGAGCAGAAGTTGAAAAATGATTATTTGAATCATTGGGCTATCAAATAATTTGAATTTCTCTTTTTTCACTAGTGATTTGATTAGTTTCATTATTCTTTTTGTTTTTTATTCCTTATATTAAATTAAAATTAAATATTAATTTGTGACTTCTAGCAAGCATACCTTTTTAATTTCATTTTTAAATAGAATTCTAACAATCGGTATTATGGGCGATTTTAAGAAAATACCCTTCAAGAATAGCTGCTTTCTCATCTCCATTAAATTTATATTTAAATTATTATTCTCTTGTGATATTACCAAAGTAAACAATGAATTTTTGCACTCTAATCAATTTTACCTCCATTATGAATNAAAAAAAAAAAAAAAAAAAAAAAAAAAAAAAAAAAAAAAAAAAAAAAATTTACATAGATACTTGTATTAAAAAACCGTTACGCAAAATATTTTGTACTTCCCAGTAGCTTTTAGCTCTATATTATCAGATTAAGTAAAACATGTCTTTATAAGCTCATCCTATCAAAATAAAAGTCAATTATATTCATGAGTATCATTTGGCATAATGCTATTGCTCGAGGTCAACTCCTGAAAATCAAAAATTACCATAATCATTAATTTTCTGTGGTAGCTATCCCTTTCGGTGAGCCGTAAAAACCTATTCCCACAGTAATCTTAGTATAAATTAGTATATTTAGTAACTATTAAAACACCAATTAAAGCATCAATACCTATTACTAAAATTAATTTAGGATCTTTCATAACAATAATAATAAAGTGATTTTTTACTGTTTTTTTAGATAGATAAAGAATTTTCTCATTAATATATAGCATTTTAGCGAAAGATTTCTTATTTTCTCCTATGATCCATTTTATTAAGCATCATTGGTGTTAATAACAATTTGGAAATTCTTTTTTACCGTTCCATAACTTTCCGTTTTCTTGCAAGCTAATTTTTTCCATTAATTTATTTTTTCACTATAAGACTTTATTTCAATTTGTACCAATTACCAAAATTAATTCATTGTAATTCAAGTAACGATACTAATGTTTTTATAATCATTTTGAGCCACATGAATTAATATCGGTATTTATTTCGAAGGTCGTAAAGAAATTTCCAAGCTATTATTGACGCCAGTAATACTTAATTAAATGTGGTATTAAATACTTCTAATATTGCCGTTATAACTACTGTGGAAATGAGAGCCAGTTCTACAAAGGTGCATAATATTGGCTTTGTGTAAATAAATTTTTTACTTGCCCTCTGAAACGGATTAGTTCTATAATATCACCATTAAACACATTCATGGCAGCTAATAGTTATCTTATTACTTGCTATATATTCCGGTGCAACTTCATACTATTAGATTTACTGTAATCTGAGTTAGAAGTTCAAGAAAGAATAACCTAGCGTATAATCATTTAGATTATGATATTCAGAATTTATCAAAATTTTTCCATAACTCAATTCTATTCCATTAGTTCTTGTTGAGTTTCCACTAATTAATTTCAGCGAAACGTTCTTTAAAAACATAGTCATCAATAAAAAAAATAGAAAAAACATATGATTTCCCATACCTTTTGAAATATTAATTTGGTGACGTCATCCCCATACGTTACAGAGTTATTAATGTTGATTTTACTTGTGATAACCTAACACAAGAAAACTAAACACGGGAAACCTAAGAAAAATAATTCATAACAAAGTGCGATAAAACTAATATTAGATTGTTCAGAGCTGGAAGCTTTGCTTTGTTGGAAGCTTGCTTTGTTTGATATTTATCAAATCATATAGAAAATTCTACCTTTGGGATGCAGTACGCAAACCAGGGGTCGAAGATGTTTTAAAGCAGGCCGTAAGGTCCACCATGTCCCCGAACGTATTTACACCAAATTATTTAACATTATGCAGTTTGACATGTTGGCGAATCTTTCAACGATATGTAAATAAATTAATTTTTGTTTATAACGAAAATTCAAAAATTGTTTTTGGCTATAAGTAACTTTGAAAAATGAGTTTTATGTACAAAAGAAGCTTGATTCCCCATATTGTTTACGAAGATATGGCGAAATATTTACAATATCGCCTAGCGTATTTTCTGAAAAATAAAAGCAACGAAGCGTATAATATCAAAAGTGAAAAAACCCAATATCTTTTCGAATTTCTCTTAACACTTGACCCAGCAGTTTTCTTGTCTTCCGGATTGGGTTCAAAATTACAAGGCTGCGGAATAGAACATCGGTAGTCGTAAAACTAAAGTAGGGTCAGCTGTTCAACGACGGTTATAATATAAAATAAAATAAAATATATTTTTCGGAATTGTGAGAAAAAGTAAGAATCTTAAAAATTTAAGATACACGCAAATGTGGAAAAAGTGAAGGATTCACTTTGTACGTACACGTACATTAGGGGGACCGGAAAGTAATGTCGTTTCGGCGCATTAAATATTCGTTAGTCTTAAAAACCAATTCCTTTTTTTTTTCGATCCATTTTGATTGATTTTCGATCCGGCATTGAAAGATTGTTGCTAACGAGGGTGAATACATTATAGATTAAAAATAAGGTTTTGATAACAAACATAAAAAAGAGGCGACATTACTTTGCGGTTCACCTAATGAATTAGTGTTTAGATCATGTCTAGACTTTGAATTTCCTAATTGTATTCTTAAAAAAAAACTAAAATAAAAAAACTAACTGGTAGAATGGTAAGTGTTTTTGCTACAGGTCAGTGGTCACCAATTATTAGGTTCTCATGGACCACCAAATAGAAAACATTTAAGCTTGCGCAAACTACTGTTTCATTTTTTTGGACGAAGATGAAAGTTTCGTAACTGAAAAGAGTGGGTTTTAAGTGTTTTCCTCAAAAGCAAAATTGACGTGTTTTAAGCGATTTTTAAATTTTTTTTCTAATTAAATGCTTTTCTAGAAGACACGTTTTCAGTTAAGCACAATGTTTGCTTTCAATGAAATTTTATTTAACATGTCAACCAAAATGAGACAGAAAAGTTAAGTGATGATAATTGTTAATTAAAGTTTATTTAATAATAACATTAAGTTCATTAACAATTGCTTCGTGGAACTAAAAAGTTCTCTCACGGATCGCGCAATTGTCCACGTATAAAGATGGCTTGAGATACTGTAGATCAGTGTTCCCCAACCTTTTTATCACCGTGGACCTGTCAAAGTTTAATAATTTTACCGCGGCCCGCTGGGGGGGAGGGGAGTTGATTGTTCATATTTCAGATTATTTTGATTTATTTATTTTAATTTAATTGTATTTAAACATGCCATCAAAATAAAATACAGTTGCACCAAAATATAAATATAAAGTGATTTAACATTTTAGCTTACTAGAACCTTAAACCAATGAGAACCCTGAGCTTGTTTCTTTGCAGTGAGACGGTTCCATCTGGGGGTAATCGGAGACAATGATACATTACAAACATTAAAAAATTTATGTCACTACCTTCGGGGGCCACTTTTTTTTCAATAAATAAAATTTTAATGGAACACAGATATTTTTAATTTGTGGTTTAAACCTAGGAATTTAAATTCCATTTCAATGGAATGGGCGGCCCGGTACCATTTGATCAACGGACCGGTACCGGTCAGCGGACCGGGGGTTGGGGAACACTGCTGTAGATGACTTGAGATTAAAAAGACAATAGAAATAAATTGTGATATTTATAATTATTCTTTTCAGAAAAAATGTAACTTGTAGAAATTTAATTGGCGAACACATTTTTAGTTTTATACTTTAAAGAAGCCTAGATTTGTTAATTTATGAAGACTTTTTCAGTTTTATTCTTTGTGTAAATAAGTGAAGCGTAGACGTAATAACGAAAGAAGACGATTTGAGTTTTATTCCTCACTGAAAAAAGCAAAGCAAAAATTCGTTATTTGATGAAGATCTTCCGAGTTTTATTCTAGGAAGAAAATGTAAAGCTTAGAATCCATGAAGACTCTTGGAGACTTCTTCTTTAGACGAATAAAAAGCAAAGTATAAAATTGTTAATTTTAAAATAAATTTAAAAAGACATTTCGAAGAAAAAGCATAGGTAACTATAAATTGTTGAAGACATGAGTTTTATTCTTGGGAATCATCATTTTCAACCTCATGACAATAAAACAAAATTTTGATTCTTACCGCCGCCTGTGCCGAGAGTCAGTGCTCGTTTGACTGTCTACGGAACTAGATCGCCTGTGATGAGATTTGTGAACTGATCTTCTGCTGCTGCCACGGGACGATGCGAGAGATTGCCTACTGGAAAACAATCCTCTGCAAGGATCAAGAGTTAATTACATCAGAGAAATGAAAGAAAGGATTTGTTATAATTTAAAATACCAAATCCTTTTACAGAGTACAACAAAATGTAATGCACAATGAATAAAATATATTTTAAAAAAATCTTTGATCTTGAAATTTTGATATAAATATTTAAAAAAAACAGCTATTTTCCGCAATTATAAGCGCAGTTTAAGATAAATACCTCTTTCGTTTTTTTTTTTTAAAAAAAGAAAAAAAAGTCGTAAGACTTCCAGGTTACTACTCCCGACTGAGTTTTACGTCTAAAAAGCTAGGAAAAAGAAGAAAAAAAAAGTCGTAAGACTTCCAGGTCCCGACTGAGTTTTACGTCTAAAAAGCTAGGAAAAAAAAAAGTCGTAAGACTTCCAGGTTACTACTCCCGACTGAGTTTTACGTCTAAAAAGCTAGGGGAAAAAAAAAGTCGTAAGACTTCCAGGTTACTACTCTTGACTGAGTTTTACGTCTAAAAAGCTAGGAAAAACTCGCCATCCAATATTATTATACTTGTAGTGTTTTTAATATAACGTGTTCTTTTAATACAACTTTAAACGAAACAAGCAGCAAATGAATTCGGAAGACTTTGCAAGCTTGCTATGATGTTACGACAACCTCCTTTCACATTTTAATGCTAAAACTGATGGAACTGGTTTGTGGGCAACTTTTGTAACTAATTTCAAAAATTCTGTATACAATTTTTACGAGCTTCGCGACAAACATATTGTTAGTTTAACTTCTCTATCATCTTTTGTTTCCGAGATTTTTAATTTTGAAAACAGTCAGTCCCTATCGTTGGACACCCTTATTAAAAATCTGCTACTTTCACAGGCTTGTAACTAGACGAATGTACAATGTACAAAAGATTATTTTCTTGTTAACTATTTATTTTGTTTAAATAGTCTTTTAATGATGTTTGAATCCTTAATACTCCAGTTGAAAAACCTATTTTTCTGCCTATATTGAGGGTTGAAAAATTTTGGAAATGGGGATTTCTTTGCTTATGATACAAATTTTTAAAAATCTTAATCTAACCTTCATAACACGATTAAATATAGGAAGAGTTGTTGCTATCACAACTAAAAAATTTAGTTAAATAGCGATTTTAAATGAGATTTGGGAACAGTATTACGATTACATTCCAGCAAGTCTTTAAACAAAGATTTATATTCCAAGTAAAAAAATTTTTCAATAAATTAAATCCACAAAAATTCATTTCATTAAGTTCTTTAAAAAAAAATCTATGAATTATTAATGACTGTTAATTAAAGTTGCATCTAGCAAGGAATATTGTATTAAAAGATAAAGCAGGCAAATTTTCCAAATCAAATATCTCAAGATAAAATAGCGATAGAAGAATTTAAATTTTTTTTGTAAGCTAGAGGGATAATATTTTATTCTTAGTTAGAGATATTTTAATGTTGTAAGTGAGAACTATATCATATAATTTTGTTACCTGTGGTTAGGATCTTCCCACGGATTTACATCATTTGCTTGCTGCTGATGTGCAGCTGAGAGGCCAGCTGGAGTAGATACTGATCTGTACAGAGGAACACTTAAAAAAAAGAAGAAAGAAGCATTCATATACATTAGAAGTTCCCTTGTCTTCTGGATTGGGTTCAAAATTACTGAGTTACACATTAGTAGTCGTAAACCCAAAGTTGGGTCAGCTGTTCAACGACGGTTATTAAATTAAATTAAATTATTTCATGTAGAGCCGTGATGGCTATGGGGATGGAGTGTTCACCCTCCAAGGAGGTGAAACGGGTTCGAAACCCAGCAATGACCCCGAAATCAACAACCGACTAGCACCGACCACAGTGCTGACGTAAAAAATCTTCAATATCAGACTGATCATGGGTTAGAAATGATTTGCCGTCGGGCTAAAAATGGGTAGTTTTCCTCTCCATATAACGCAAATGCTGATTAGTTCTATCAAAAAGTCCTCCACGAGAGCAAATTTCTCCAGGGGATAGAGCGTTCACCTTCCAATGAGGCGAACCGAATTAGAATCCCAGTCGATACGAATTCCGCATCCGGGTTGCACCGACCACAGTGCTGACGTGAAATATCCTCAGTGGTAGACGGATCATGGGTTAGAGTCCCTTTGCCGTCAGGCTATCCGTGGGAGGTTCTCGTAATCTTCTTCTCCATGTAACACAAATGCGGGTTAGCTCCATCAAAAAAGTCCACCACGAAGACAAATTTCTCCCAATACTCGAGCCAAGAGTTCCCTTGTCTTCTGGATTGGGTTCAAAACTGCAAACCCCCATAAGTTTAATCAGGCAGCTATATTTGTTTTACTGTTTTCAGTCCCGCCTTCTTAACTTGTATTTAAACTGATTTCGAAAGCGTTTTTCTCTCTTCCTTAAGTGTTAACTTGGAACCCTTGATGTATATACTTTTTAAATGCATTTCTGATCAAGATTTTTAGAAAATATATATTAAGGGTTGTCATAACGGAACACCCTTTATACCAACACAGAAAAAAAAAATAAAACTGAATTCATGGTTTGATCAAGCTACTTACGATGTGATTACTTGAACGAGTGCCATGTCGTCTTTAACATCATTCATTATATTCCGTTTGAAGATCTCCTTCTCCATCACGTCAGCTGCATTAAAATGAAATCAATTCGAACTAAATATTAAAGAATAAAAAGAAAAATAAGAAAATAAAAAAAGCTTTGTCTTCATTACCATCAGCTCCATCTGGTTCCCCTAGTCTTTTTTGAAATCGTCTGCTTGGAACTCTTACTATAGGAGGAGGAGGTCTTCTGATTTGCTTTGTTTCATTTCTAACTTGTTGCTCTGTTCGACCACTGTACAAAGAAATAATAACTTGCATATTATTTTCAGCCATTGGAAAGTAAACGAACGAATCGGTTTGTCATATGATGCGTAACGTTGGCAACAATAAGTTCTAAATATCTAAATTACCTACGAAGTGTTAGTCCATTGTAAGATATAGTTACCAAACCAATAACCACCTACCACCATAATAAATATAGTCAGAACAACGCTTCTTTTTTTTGGTGGAGGGGCTTTAAAACTTTTTAGGATTTCCTATACTAAGCTTATACTTCGTGGATTAATTCGAACTTATGGTTTCTATGTAAAAAGTTAGCTGAAACAAACTCTAGAATTCGGTCAGCCATAGTTGCCAAGTTAGTTAACTGTTCACTAGAAGCAACCAACACTAATTTTATATTAGCTGGTAGTCTATCAAGCCACAGTGATTTTAGTAAATCATCGTTGAAATGCTTTTCTGCTAAATCTCGCATTCGTTTTAACAGTAAGGATGGGCGCTGGACGCCAACTTCAACACCTTGTAATAAAGTTCGTAATTTAGAAGTTTCGCTCTCAGCATAGATTTCGATGAGTCGTGTCTTCAAAACGGAATATTGATTACTTCCAGGTGGACTGATAATCAAGTCTTGAATGGAATCCAAAATATGAGATTCAACGGCGGCAACAACATGATTAAATTTTGTGTCTTCTCTTGTAATGCCAGAAATTTCAAATTGGGCTTCGATTTGGGCAAACCACAATTTAGGATTATTCTTCCAAAAAGGTGGAGGTTTGACTGCTATTCGTGATATTTCCGACACTGGTACTGCTTCTGAACTATTATCTTCCGGCAATGGCATATTTTACAGTATTCTGGAAATTTCAATGGAAAATGTTAATGTTGTACAATTGCATATGAGAAGAATTCAATCCACCAACTGGAATAGAGGCGATAAATCCACAAAAAACCGGGTCACCACTTATCTTTGGCGAGAAAACGGCTGCGTTATTTATGAGTCTGCGTGTTCAGTTGAGTCTGTCACCAAAGATAAATAATTTGGAGAAATGCTAAATTTAAACATAATTTTAATGAAAACTTAACAAAATTAAAACCATAGAAGAATAATTGAACAAGTAAAAGCTGAAGAAAAACGTAAGGCAGGTTACCGAAAAAAGAGATAAGTAAAGTAAAGAAAAGTAGAGAAAAAGAACAAAGTATCGCAA